CACATTGTTTGCTGTATCATTCCAAGTCAAGTTATTAACTGGTTGGATTGGGGAGTTTGGGATCCAACAACGAATCTTGATTCTGGACCCACTTGCGACAACAAATACTCCAGAAGGAAAGCAGTGAGGTTCAACTGATAGTGACTGTGGAGAGGGCAAAATGTGCAGATAAACTGGCTGAGAGTTTACTGTTGCAATTTCACAGTAGTATATGCCGTCATCTACAGGTCTAGCTGGATAGATAATTAGCTTACTCAGTGCTGATTCATTACTGTAACTCTGCTCATAACACAGCCATTTGCTATCGTAGAACTCAATGTGAACATTCTTCTCATCTCTCAACTTACTCCCGTCATGCAGCCATGAAACACTTGATCCATCATAGTCAGTGATTGTACACTGGAATTCTGCTCGTCCTCCCTCATTTATGTCCATAAACACTGGTCCTATTACCTGTTGGGCATGTGTGACAAATGAAAGCACTAGACAAGCATAGAGTGTAGTCAACAGGATGTTGGTCAGCGCATTCCACCTCATCATGTTTGTTTAATGCAATGCATACTCGTAAACAGTTGGTTTATACTACACTGAATTTTCTCCACTGTCCAATTATAAACATGAACGCAAAACAAAACACAGAAACCTTTCAGTTTCACATAATCACTGCAATAACTACATGATATCACTTACATATCACACCATTTTCTATAAATTTCACAAACGAAATGAAACTTACAAATGATGTAATTTCACTTTCTATTTTGTATGTTGTTAGACCAGGGCACATGCAATTCAAGGAATGTGCTATACCCAGAAAGCCGTTCTTTTGTACATGCAGGCTTACAGCACTTTTACCAACATTCTCTGCAAATCCTTTCACTAAGCACAGAATCCATTTTGTGTCCGGGATGTAAGCATGCATAGTTACATACAAACCAAAGTTTCTTGCCACCTATGAAACATCTATATATATAAGAGAGAAGTTTACTCGCCCCCGAGACGATGTTTGCTCATGAAAGGATCCGAGACCACGGGCTCACGCGGCACCAAAATCGCTCCACGTCCTTGGAAAAATGCGGAGGGTGTCTTCCGCCGGGTCGGACACTTCGGGTCGTCCTAATTTTCCCGTACGGACCGGCGATCCGTTTCGTCGATTTTTCGTGACTGCGTTTTGCGCAGGAATTTGCCGTCGTGTGCGCTTTCACGTTGACTGCCTGGCCGCTCCCTGTGCTGGCTTTTCTGCAAGTCTAGACTGTGCGAGGTCAGCGAGGTCAACGTAGGGGTTTCGTTTACGTGTTCTACTCGGCCGTTCTGCAAAAGTGTTCACCAAATGGTAGTATGGGGTGACCTTGGCAAAAAAAAAATTCTCCATGGTGCGTGGCCACCAAGTGTCCCTATTGTTTCCTGTGCTTCGCTTGCCGCCCCTGCGCCGAGTGCAACGAATACTCAGAAGGACTACACGTTAGTATGCCTTGCGCGGTCTGACCAATCGAAAGTCTACACTGCATAGTATTTCCGGGCTATGCAAAAGTGTCAATGGCAACGCGTACTGCAGCCTGCTCCACACCCTGTAAACGAGGTTGGGTCTACAGTGCTCGCTATTTGAAGCACAAGCATGTGACGTCGCGTGATAGAGTGCTGTTGCTTCCATAATGTGTTTACAGCTCCACGCTTCAACCACCAAGGCTGAGCGTTGTGAGTTCGCTGCCCGCCACGTATAATTCAGTGTCGCGTTATAATTTCGGGGGCCTGTTTGGGGTCAACGAAGGATCGATGCATTCACAAAACAATCGACGAAAAAGTGTCCGACCCGGCGGAAAACACCCACATTTTTCTACGGACGTGGAGCCATTTTGGTGTCGCGGGAGACCGCGGTCTCGGATCCTTTCAGGAGCAAACATTTCTCGGAGGCCGAGTAAAACTTGCTCTTATATAGATGGTTGAACCAAATTCAATAAAAGTTAAATCGACTTTTTCCTCGCAGACGGTCTCGCAAATTGTAAGAAGTTCAAGTTTACGTTTGTTGAACAGTCGAGTCCAATACTGAAACTTAATTATGACCTTCCTCCATGATTCAGACCGTTTGTAATTTTATGGTAATTAACACTCAACATTTTCATTTCAAATGACACCTTTACGTTTTATTGCATTATGATTCATTGTCGAAAATGTACAATCAGCCTTCGCCTGTGTACTACGCTCACCTTTTCACTGCGTTTTCCAAATGCGACTGCCTCACAAAATGCCAATTTAACAGACCAACGGGAACATTTACAGACAGTTGCCATGGTACATAATTATCATGTGCGTAAATCTACGGGGGACAGGGGGAACCCCCCCCATTTTAAAGTGGGGGACATTGTTTGGTTCCCCCCTCACTTTTTCTTCCCCAAATAAAAAATGTAGCCTACAACAATGATTCTATTGCTCAGAATACATGTAGCTGATTCAATTACTCCAAACTCAAAACTTTAAAAGATGATCTTTTGCTGCACTTGGTTTTAGTGGTCAGAAATTGCCTCAGATCACACCACAGAAATTGCTTTTCTATAACTGCATGTCTCCTCAACTATATCCCCCATTTACATTTAACTCCCCACATTTTTATCCCCAACACTACGCCCTACCCCATCTATGATCGGGTAAATCAGCTTGTGCTCACCATAAGTGCAAAATTTTCAAGTTACAATTAGAACCAGTTTGATAACTGGAAAAAGCCATACACAGTAATTCCATCTTCTTCTGCCTGCAACTTAGGTCATACACAATAATAAAACAATGTATTAGCCTAATGATTATTGCAAAATCAGTTAAATTCGATGAAACCTTTAACAGCTCCACAGCATATCAAATATCACAAAGTAAGCTATTTTATTTGTGGAAGTTTATTTATTTTATACTTTTTTATTAAGGGAATAAATGTGTGTTCGGGAGGTATTATAACACTCTGTTCAAGACCGGTGTGAGTCTGGATGGGTAATTATCACCCATCCAGACTCCCACCGGTCTTAAACAGAGTGTTCAATACCGACCAAACACGTATTTATTCCCATTCATAAATACCTTTTCGGTCAAAAATCAAATCTTTTCGGTCCAAAAATCAAAACAAGTCAAAAACTAGACGTTGCCAACCATTTTGTTCAACAATTTTACTTCATGTTTTACAAAACACCCCTCTGAATATAATATGGAATGCCCCTCCACAACTTGCTACCTTATAAGGACATTGGCGTGCGTGTCGCGCGTACTGTGCAAAACGCAGCTGGGCTGGTGTAGTGTGAATTTTGGACCATGATTCACTGGTAGTATTGCTTATGCATACATGAGGAATGTGAACGGTCGTTCAACCAATGAAACGTTAAAAGGCACCGGATTTCTTGGGAGTACAAATTCATGTGACACTGGAAAAGTGTTTAAGACCAGCTAGCCATGTCTTTATCATCTGTTTAAGACAGGCCATGTGACATTTGATTTGTCTATTCACATCAGGTTTCCTATCATCATAGGAATTTGCACAGAGATTGGAAACGGTGTATGCAGCTCTTGAAAATTTGAAAAGCTTTTCATAAAATCCAAAAAGAATTGAGAAAACTTTCAGATCCATCTTTCAAAAAGTTTGTATCATATCATTTTGTCTTTCCCGTCAAAAACCAATGCAGTCGTAAAACAAATTGCTATAAGAGCATTTCATACCTAAAAACAGTTGTGAGCAAAACACTAGACGAGCGTAAGCGAGGGAAAAATCTTGCGTGCAAGTGTACTGTGGAGTGACAAGCAAGCTTATAATTTCTCATCTCGGGGAATTCCCTTGTAGATGAGCACGTGCTGACTGAAGGACCATACTGTTATTTGATTGAAAAGTTGGTCTAAATGTTACTCTTTCCACGGTCCCATCACATGATGTATCGTGTTTTATATGTAGGGATATACAGCGAAGTCGTAAATAAGGGCGTGGTTTCATTCCTTTATTTATGCGATCGCAATCCACAAAGTCATACATGTACACAATCTTGACCGACACAATCTTGAAAAATATTCAGACTGGTAGATTGGCAAAAGATCGGGATTTTTTTTTTTTAATATTCAAAATGTTCCTGCAAATTTTGTAAGCAGGGATTTATTGGCAAAGTTTCAATTTCTGAAGCTACTTCCAGAAGTCCACAAGTGGTAGAGTCACGTCGACACTATTAAAAGTTTCCAGGATCCGTACGAGGCACGTAGTAGATCCGTCATCTATTTATGAATGGCATGAAGTGGCTGGCTGGTACTTAGTGATAAATCCCGAATACAGTGGTAAATTAGTTTACCTGCGATCCTGGCCGTGATTACGTGATTGTGATGCATCAAAAATGAAAGCTCGAGGAGAAGTCTGATGTATTCCGATAATATTATTATGCTGCCAAACAAAATCTTGATTGTACATAAAAAAATTTAGGAAACTATAAAACAACAGTATTATGTGAAGTATTACTCCCCGGGCATTTTTGCTAGGATGCAACCTCAATCCTGCAAAATCCTCCAACTGCCACCATGTAAAAATTGCATACAGCCTCAATCTTCCCAAATCATCCGTTATTTCTTGACTGTGGTCCTTGGAGGGGTGACCACTGCCTCAATCCTGCAAAATCTTCCAGCATGTCTCTGTCAATATTTTGAGGCAGAGCCCGTGACATCCTGGAGCAGTGCAGAGGATTTCAAGCATAATCTAGGCCTAAATTTATGAAGGGCTTAGCATAAACAACACAAGGTCTGGCGTAAGACCTTGACACAGTGCATCCTGCAAAATCTGCCACACCTTTTTCCATATAGCCTCCATCCTGCAAAATCCTCCATTTTGCAAAGAGGATTTTACAGGATATGGGAAGGTTAGGGTTAAGACCATTTTGGTGGAAAATGCCCAAAAAAATATGGGGGGCGCCTTTAACTAGAAACCATTTTGAAGGAGAGACAGGTTGAAAACTGTGGTTTTGATGAAAATGTCCTTATCCAACCAAACTAACCTGATTGCTGTAGAGTGCTTTCTAGTTGATAGAAATGCTGCCATTGTCTATCTGTACCATACTTGGCCTCTATCTCAATATCAGACATCATCTTAGACCCGTGACTTGCTCGTAAGATGATTCCAGAGTCAGATAATTTCAGGAAGTCACCATTAGCTGAATCAAATACCATGCCTTTGATGCTGGAGAAAAAGATGCATACTTTTTGTGTAAGAACTGTTGTAGTGATCAGTATGTTAGGATAATGCAAGCAGTAACCACAGCAGTTTTAACTGCCTCACAGTGTTGATTCAAATGTGTTGATTCAATTGACCTGATTAAGACCCCAACAATTGTGTGTTTACAGTGGCCCAACCTTCCTGGATGTTTGGCAGCCAATTTGCCAACTTCAAAACTTAGGTACATACCAAGTTACCACCCAATCAGACATATAAATCTTTATATACCGGTAGGCCATAGAAAAATGCACCTTCAAAGGGAATGTAAAGCATTTGATTTTGCTGCAATTTTCAGAAATAAATGGATTTGGTGGATTAGTATGTTATAGCAAATACTGTTAAATTGACTTGCTTCACGTCTTGGGTTTGGAGATGCTGGAAAATCCAAGAAAACCAACAATGTTCTTGTAGTCTGGTTCCCTGACAGCTCTTAAGATGAAACGGAGCAATTTATAGACTTTGGGGAATTGTAACATCAGAGAATCAGTCTAGCTGGCTTACCTCTTTACAGGTGTGTAATCAATTGCAAAGAAAATAGGGATTAACTAAATATGAAAAATTAGGAGCAGTTTTTGAAAACAGCCAGTTTTCTCCAACGCTGGTCGGCCGACCAGCATTGGAAAAATACAAGTTTTCTTGAAATGGTCAGCAAACCAGGAGCCAAGATTTTACGGGATGCTTTGGACTATCATTCCCTAACAATCCAGTAAGATATTTCGTGATAATTTGATCATTTCGTTTTTTGATGTTTGCAAATGTTGTATCTTCCCTTTAATGTGACATTACATGACGTCATTTCCAAAAAGTTTCGGCAAGTTGCCGAAATAGCCAATTATTTCCCTCCCACCTACATGTACATGTACCTGGATAATTTTTGGCCTTCGGTGGCGTACCCTAGTGGTTTGGGGCATTGAATTAGGTCTGTGGGTAATTCTGCAGGTTGTGGGTTCGAGTCCTTCCTGGGGTCCCGGTGTGTGTGCCCTTCGGCAAGGCACTTTGTCACTCATTGCTTCTCTCCACCCAGGAGTACATGGGTACCTGTGAGGGCAGTGTTGGTAACTATGAGAGGTTGATTACGGCCAAGAGCACCGCAATGGCTGTCTACCGGCCGTGTATGCTCACCAGGGAATTGAGGCTTTAGGAGTGTTTGCCCATTGAACAGGGGTAATAAGAATTGTAAAGTGCTTTGATACCCCGCTTAAAAGCACTATATAGAATTGCTAGTATTAGTAGTATTCCACTAAACGTACTATTAAGGAGACATGTTATCGAAATTTCTTCAAATGGTGGGAGACAGCGGTCATTAAGGAAACATTTTCATGTCTCCCTAATGTCACAGCCCCCCTTTAGAGGTAAAATGTTATCGTTGCAATTAGATTATATTTGTTGCTTACGGTCTATTTAGCAAACATACCGAAATTCGTGGAAAAAGGACAAGGGAATATTGGGTTAGAGTGCATTTAAGTTTGAAAACATTTTGTGCACAAGTCTATGGGAATGTCTCCCAAATGTCCAATCCAAGGTAATTTATTATTATTAATATTGTGTTACTGTAAACACACAATCTGGCCAATTGGGCCTACCCTTTACTGCCTTCTACAGACCGAATGAATGAAGCAGGATATCACATCGTTCTTGACAAGTTTGGATTTGTTGATCTTGTCACTTACCATAGGTCTTTGTGCATCTCAAATGGTTGAAGTAGACGTTCATCATATCCCTTCTCTTCAACAAGTATCTTGGCACTGTAATCATAGGACAGCTGTTGTAAACACAAACAAACGCTCATCTTATTAATGAACCTCTGTGAATTATGGAAGAAAAAAAGTTCTTTTCAATTCTCCAGCAAACCTTCCACACGTAATTTGGAAATAAATAGGTTTGCTACTGTGGTTCTTTGGAGCTTTGGAGGTAGATTTTTATGTCATAAAAATGCTAGTAACAAGAGTTCTTCATGCAAAATCCTGAACATGGTTGATACAAGGAACATGACGAGTAAGAAATACATTTTTTTTTAAATGAATTACTTCGTGAAACACTTTTTGTGCTTAAAACTTTTTTCAGAGGCTCGAAGATGTCCATAAAACTGAAAACAGAAGGGGGAGGGGGTATGGACATCCACTGGGGGGGGGGGGGGGAGTGCCCTCACCAAATAAGCCCCCCCCCCCCCCCCAGTTACTCCACTATCACACAAATAGACCTCACTGGGGAAATGGCCGTGCATACCCTCTATTCCAAAGAAATTTGGGAAAGATTCCCATATCTGGCCATCAGTCATTTTTCCCTTAAATGACGTATCACTGTATCAGCCATCAAAAAGTGATGTCCTAAAAACTCAAAATTAGCAGGGACAAATTTTAAATTTTTACTGAGAGTGAGAAAACAATTAAAATTTTTCAGACCAGTCCCATAGGGTTTGTGTACAGGGTGACAAGTGATGGCCAGATATGGGAATCTTTCTGAAATGTGGGGGAAAATGGAGCATGACGGTCTACTGACAGCCTGTAGAAATTTGTCGAGAGTCCAGAGATATGAACGAAGTATTGTTGTATTTTATACATGATATCGTTCATGGGTTAACTTAGTGACGGGCAAGTGGGCTAGGGCGCGAGTAGCCCCACTAAGTACATGTGCCTCATTACTGTTCTGTACATAAGCCAAGGCAACACTTTAGTGTAGTCCGAGTAACTAGGACTCTACAAATCACCTTTTTTAACATTTGGACATGGTCGGGCGATAGTACCTAGGACTCTACTATTATTGATGTGCCGTAACGTGGCACGGCCCCCAACGTGGCGCACTTTGATTTTTCGCCTGTAGCGCCTAGCTTAAGCCACAGTTTTAACTGAAATTTCACATAAAGTGAAATTTCATGAAGTTCTAAACAATTCCATTCATAAATCACGAGTTTATCTTCCTGTTACAAAGTTAGTAGAAAAATTATTTCAGCGTGATTTTCCGATTTTATTTCAAAGTGCAAATGATGCCTTCGAAAATGTCCCCCCCCCAAAAGTAGAAAATAATTTGCTGACAAACTTTTAGTTGGGTATGTAATTAAAGATAATGATGGTTTATCAGAATTTATCAGTTTTACAGAAATTCTTAAATGTTAATTTGGAATTTTCCATGATTTATTCAAGTACGCCACATTGGAGAACAGTCAGCTGATTTGTGCCCAATTTCCAGACACCACCGCTATTGAATTTTGGATGAAATTTCATGAAACCGAAATTGTTCAAGGATGTTAAATAGCAAGCAATAAAGCATTAATAAGGTAAATATACCATTATTTCACTGAGTGAATTTGACGTTCATCAACAAAGAAGTTTGGCAACACTGATGTGGAAAGTCGGGGTAAATGTCCAAGTGCGCCACGTTAGGGAACACCACTAGGCACAATTGCAGAATACCCCGCCACTCGATCTATGCACCTCGTAGCCGGCTACCGAGTCACGGTTGATTGCCCTCAATAAACCTTCTCGGCTCTAGCCTACATGTATGTACTATGTGTCATGCTCCACTGCACTCCCAGTCCATATCCGCGTAGCCGGCAACAGGGTAGTTGGTTTGGACTTGGAATTTTTTCAGCAACTCCCGTTACTTTTGCGTTGCTTCGTTCTCAAGCATATAAGTATAAGGACTCCCACTTTGTAGCCGCGTAGCCGGCAACAGGATAGTTGGTTTGGACTTAGAATTTGTTCAGCAACTCCCATTCATTTTGTGTTGCTTCGTTCTCAAGGGGACCCCCACTCAGTATCCGCGTAGCTGGCAACGGACTTGAATTGTTTCTTTTCCAGTGATTCCAACCTCATAGCCAGAGAAATTAGGGGTGTATTTCCGAGTGGCGGGGTATTCTACAATTTAATACTCCCACCACTATATGGTGGTGTTCCCTAACGTGGCGCACTTCGACGTTTACCCGACTTTCCTCGTGTAGGCCTAGTGTTTATTCCAAACCTCTTTGTTGACAAACCTCAAATTCATGCAGTGAAATACTGGTACTTTTACCTTAGGCCAAAAAAAAAAGTCTCCGGTTTCTGGTATGCGCGCGCGTCGCCGTAGCCATGCGCGTCGGCAAAATGAAAAAGTTTTTTTTTCAATACAAGATGATGTCTCAAAACCGCCAAACTCACTGGTTTGACTGGAATTCTGCTGCTGCACAATTTTAACGTGTTTTTAGATGGGGTTATGATCGAGAATAAGCTTTATGTGGCCTCTCTGGACTCCCATATATTTGCACTAAGTTTAGTCGGGCACCATTTGCAGTCATCAGCCGACATTTGAAGCCAAAAAAAAAAAAAAAAACAGGTAAAAAAAAAAAAAAGCCGCGTCGCCGCACCACTTTTGGGGCAAGCTCCATACCAGAAACCGGAGACTTTTTTTTGTTTGGCCTTATTAATGCTTGCATTTTAACCTCTGTGAAAAATTTCAGTGTCATGAAATTTAATCCGAAATTCAAAAACGGTGGTGTCCGGAAATTGGGCACAAATTGGTGGAGTGTTCCCTAACGTGGCGCACTTGAATAAATCTCAGAAAATAACAAATTAACATTTAATAATTTGTGTAAAGTTGATAAATTCTGATAAATCATTATTATCTCTACTTATCTCTACAAATTGGTGGAGTGTTCCCTAACGTGGCGCACTTGAATAAATCTCAGAAAATAACAAATTAACATTTAATAATTTGTGTAAAGTTGATAAATTCTGATAAATCATTATTATCTCTACTTAACATACCCAGCCAGAAGTTTGTCAGAAAATTATTTTCTTATTTTCGGGGCATTTTTGAAGGGTTCACGTTGCACTTAAAAATAAAATCGAAAAATCACGCCAAAATAAAGTTTACTTTTAACTTTGTAACAGGTAAATAAACTCGCGATTTATAAACGGGAGTGTTTAGAAGTTGATGACATTTAACTTTCTGTGAAATTTCAGTTAAAAACTTTTGCTCGCTACAGGCGAAAAATCAAAGTGAGCCACGTTAAGGGGCCGTGCCATGTTAGGGTACATCAACAATATTGTCCAACCATGTCCAAATGTTTAAAAAGGCGATACTAGTAGAGTACTCAGACTAACTCTAGTGGGGCTGGGCTGGGGGCGAGTTGACCTAAACCCGTAATAATCAATAATTTCTCACCGGAAAGAAAGTGTCCAATTTGTACTTGCAAAGCGTGTGGTCAATATCAAGCCCAATGCAGTCAAAATCTTCAAGACTCAGACTGGCACTGCTGGATTTCTTTGAATCAGACATGGTGCTCACAGCATGCAAAGTGATGTTATATTTAATAAGAACTTTATTATGGTGAAAAAGATGATGACAATGACTTTGCCAGAGCCTGCTGATGAACATCACCTGAGCCGAAGGACATGTCTGATGAAGCATCAGGCATGTGTCAGGGCCGTGATGTTACGTAAGCTCAGCCTCGTCCCCAGTGCTAACGTTATTTCCAACCTTGTTTTCAACCTCGTCCCCAGGGTGTCGAACAGTACGCGCCCACCACGACTGCAGTATCGGCAACAAGGTTGGAAATAAAGTAGTGTGTGGTAAGCGCGTACTGCTCGACACCCTGGGGATGAGGTTGGCCTGAAGCGGCGGCTAATGATATTGAGTCTGGGTACCGTTCATCAAACAGTAAGGTACGCATTGACGTATACAGTATAGAAGGCGAGTCTGGTCCGTCCCGGTTTTATTATAACCGGGACAATGTTGTGCGGAGATCGGATACTCCACTAAAAAATGGAAACAGGAAGTGATTGCTGAGGGTAAGGGCGCCCCTAGCGTTGGATAGGTAAAATCGTGATCAGGTTTTCGCTGTTCCCTGAATCCCTGTTCTTGACAACACTCGGGTTAACCCGACACGAGAACAGCGGTCTCGAACGTGACGAACGGACCCGAGAGGGCGTTCGCGGATCGATTTTTTCACTCCCCGGTTGATGGAGGGTTCGGCGAGGTGCAGCTTGAACAAAATGGCGGACTGTGCAGATTCGTAAATTGTTTTGTGGTGTTTTTTTTGTTGCTAATACCCTAATGATGGGAATAAGAATACCATTATAGTGCAGGTATGCAATTTCATCCCCGCATGTCCGGTTTTGCAACAGTCGTCCTCGTTCATTTGGAATAGGCCTAAGAACAAATTCAGACGATTGTCGGCCATTTTGCATTGCTTTATATCGATGCGACACGCATCCGCGCGTTCGTAACAACCAGCTCGAGAATACGTTCTCGTGTTACCCGCGTGTTGTCAAGAACAGGGATTCGAAAACGCCCTGGGATACTCTGATGAGCTTCACCAACCTCGTCCCAGGGGTTAATTTATTTCCAACCGCGTTTCCAATAGTAAACCCTGGATAGGAAACTTTCTTCCTGTATCCTGATTGGATACCGCAATCGGCTAGTAATGGATTTTTATCGTGTACTTGGTGCTATTATTCACAACGTGCAGTACGTGTTTTCGCGATCATTCGTCCACGCCTTCATTTCTCGAAAATACTAATTTCCTTTCCAATTTGCTCATATTAATATGAAATATGACACTGCATGTTGTCTCGATAAGATCGTAACAGTTTGATTTCAAAAATCGTGTTTTCGTAACTCACGCCGTGCTCGCGCTGCTACGAATTGACTCTGTTTTTACCCCAGACACCGCATACAAAAACAAACGCTAATGTGTAACGCATAGCCAGGCACCAGACTGTTCCTCATTTGCATACGTGTGCAAAAATCTTGCACATGCAAATGATCCAATACCAGGGTGAGAGAGCAGGCAGTGGTGGGCGCGTACTGCTCGACACCCTGGGGACGAGGTTGAAATGCGCACATTCCATACCGGATGTGATTTCTGTTTCATTGCGGACCATGTGGACAACATTTTGAGCGTCGCTTTAATGCAATCCGACCGTTCGTGATTTGAAACGGAGCAAGTGACGGGAATTGTAAATTTACAACACAGATAAGTTTTACAGAATTTCCTACATTATTACACTTTTCAACAAGACAAAAACATCTCTAAACTGGAAAAAAGAGTAATAAATCAGTCTTAACGGCCGTTTCAAACCTTGCAGAGTCATGACCTTAATGACGCGCAGGTCACTGGTCACGCAAAATCCAACCAATCAGAGCGTGAATTCATCAGAGTATCCCAGCGTCCTTTTTGCAGGGCGGGGGTACGAGCGAAACTTGAGGTTGTGCAAAGCTCTAACGTGTTTTTTCTTTGGGTAAATCATTTTAAAACAGTTTATTCTCTGATTAATAGCACCACGCATTGGTAGTGCGTACACGTAGGCCTACAGTATTATTACTTTTTCAAGATTTTGAAAAAAGCCTGGCATTGAAACAATAAGAACAGAGTCAGAGCTGTGCTCCAAACCACACACTGAACGGCCGTTTTTCACACATGTCAATACATTGCAGAGAATAAAACGCCTTTTGACATTTACGAACTCTTTCATCAACATGCAAATTAGACGTCAGATCATTTGACAGAACACCACCTAAATAGGTAATGAGTCAGTGATACTTCCATTCAGAACCCAGAATGGGTCCGATGATAATGAGTTCTCACAAAAAAATAGTGTTTTACTGGGATTGAACTGCAGACCATTGTGGTGTAGCATAATCATGGGCGTAGCCAGGAGTGGGCAAGGGGCGCTTGCCTCCATCTGGAAAAGGAGAGGAAAGAAAACAGAAAGGGGGGAGAGGGTGAAAAAAAGAGAAAGGAAAAAAAAAGAGGTGCGACGTCATATTGCTGTTTATTTCATGCACATTTTATCAACATGGGCGTCTGCATGTCAATGGGGGTGGGGTGGGCAAATGTCCCCTCGCCCACCCTAAAAAAAAAAAGAGATGAATTGAGAATGTGCTAGGAAAAGTTCAAGATATTTGGGAAATAATTTGCTTTGCCCCCTCTATAGAAAAAAAATCCGACGACGCCCATGAGCATAATCACTAAGCTTTTGGAGACCAGTGACGGTCATACTGGAAAACAACAAATCATCAGCATAACAAAAAAAATTATGGGTGGATTGGGCAATAACAATACGACATTCCAGGGCACTAAGACCAGAAACAAGAACTCTATAGAACCAATTAAAACGACGGGAAATGATTCCCTCCTTGGCTGGTGCCTTTACAAATCTTGATTTTCCCGCCAATTATGTTATTCCATTTAACTTTCACTGTGATAATCTCCATCAGTCATCACCGATATGTTATCACAGAACTTCAATCAAAGATGATATTATGGGGAATAGCATTAAATGCCCCCTCTCCGTCTGAATAGAGCACTTATTGATAATTCATGACGTCGTTCGCCGATGAAACCAAATTGCAATAGGTCAAATTTCACAAAACGTGCTCGATTCCAGAAAACCCAACTCAAAAACCTTGGGCAAAAATGAAACAATGATAGGCCAATATAGTTCTTCAGTTGGAAAGGGTCAACGTTGGTTTATGATGGGTACAAGAGTATTTACCCTCGGCCTCATGAGGAATTGAGGATATTGGTGGGAACAATTAACGCCAAACCTGGTATACACTAGCTGAAATTTAAAATGTTGGCCAAAAGAGCAGGTAATTTGGTATTTACACCATGTTTTAAAATGATCAGCTGTGATTCCATCTGGCTCAGCCTCAGGGGCATTTTTTTTGTTTAGAATTTGAATAGGCCTAACAGTGGAACTCAGCATAGGCCTATTTTGAATAAAAAAATAATAAACTGTCGATGGAGATTTTGCTAATGAGCTGACTGTAACTGTACATGTACATGATTCGGACTTGGGGTGGGAATCATGTGTAGGTCTTATATCCCCCTATGATTCATTTCTTAATAATTTAATGACTGACAAGTTTACAATTTTGGGAAGGCGACCGACAGGCATGCCAACCCTTGATCTCGGTTTATCAATGCAACAAAACCTTCACTTGTGATCAACGTGTGCCCCACTCACACTTCTTTTGTTGACCACCGTGTTATGGTTGAAATAGAGACCCAAACTTCCATTCATGGCCGTTTATATTTTGAGCAGGTTAAATGAGCAAGTTTTTTTTTTAAGAAGGATGCCCAAAACCTCCCTAACAAATTTCTGGAGAGCAAACCGGAAGACAAGACTGCTCACAAGAACTGATGGTGCGTCAAAAACACCAACCTTGTTAAGAAGCGTCGGTGTCCCCAGTTAAATGCAAGCAACGCCCGCCATTGTTTACACACCACTAAAACATGGCAATCAACAACATTGGGACCAGTTCAAGAAAATAAAAAACGAATTGTTGTTCAAGGACTCCGTAGTTGAACTCGAAAGTATGTCTGATCATCTTCTGACAACATCAAGAAATTCTAAAACTACATAAGATCTCGGCGGAAAGACATGTTGGTATCCATCCACCCCTTGAAAATTGGTGATTAGACATTGTCGCGACGACCAAATCAAGGCCAACAAGCTCACCGACCAGTTTCAAAGTGTTTTCTCATGAAGATCCAGTTCTTCCCTCAATGCCGCCCAGTCTTTACCCAGATATCCCAGACCTTGAGATCACTGCTGACGGTGTAGAGAAATTACTCTCCTCCAAGTCAACAAGGCTGTTGGACCAGATGAGATACCAAACGCTGCCCTGAACCGTTTTGCCTCAGTCCAATAAGCCTCTGTACTAATGACGTCACACTTTGTTTACATGTGCACTTTCCCATGGAGGCAGTGGGGGCCCACGGTCCACTGAGCACCATAGGAAAGCACACACGTAAACAAAGTGCGACGTCTACAGAGGGTTATTGGTACCCGCACCCATCTTGCATGCAGCTTTTTTTCAGACCGAAGTTTTGACCAGAATGAACTCCCCAAGAGACTGGAAAAAAGCAAATATTTCGCCCTTCTTCAAAAAAGGCTTGAAATCCGGCCCAGTGTAAACTCATGGAACACATCATTGACAGTCAGATCATGAAATTCTTACGAAAGCCCATTAGCGCCACTGCAAGTATATATGTTACAGATTATGTAATTCGTTATTACGGATTATTAATTCGTTATTACGGATTACTTAATTCGTTATTACGGATTATTAATTCGTTATTACGGATTATTAATTCGTTATTACGGATTATTAATTCGTTATTACGGATTATTTAATTCGTTATTACAGATTATTAATTCGTTATTACGGATTACTAATTCGTTAATACGGATTATTTAATTCGTTATTACGGATTATTAATTCGTTATTACGAATTAAGTCTGATGTGCTCACACGTAGAGAGCACGTGACCAGGGGCCTATGTATATAGCGCCGCTAGGCGGCGCTATCTTTGCATACAACGTTTGCTTTACACAGGTGTGGACGGTAATTCTGTCCCCCGGTAAAAGTGTCCGGGGGGACAGAATTACCTAGGTAAAAGTGTCCCCCCTGTCCCGTTAATTCTGTCCCCCTCCAGGTAATTCTGTCCCCTCCAGTTAATTCTGCCCCCCCCCCCCCTGGTTTTGCACGCATAAGTTGTTATATTGATGTTATTATAATGAATTCAGCGCACAGGGTATACATTTTTAGATTTTTCCACCCTTCATCAATGATTATCAAAATGAAATTAACGTTTAGATGTTAATCAACCGATCTATGTTTCTGCAAGAAAGCAGAAAAGGCACGCGTAGTAATACTCAACCTATCGCTAGCGCGCGCACGCCCTCCGTAGGTGCGGTACACTCGCGCGCACGCCCACCATGCAAATCGCTTGCTCCCGAAGTCGTCATCAAAACGAGAGTTGTGCTTTGACGTAAGCACCATTCCCGAATTTAGCAAGGCGCCGCGCAAAAACAGTTAAGAACTTTATTAATATACAGTCTGGGTGCTAGACTTGTGACGTTGCAGTGACCAGCCAACCACCAGACGTACTACCAGACAATCCAATAGCACTTTAAATCTTCAACGCATCCAGTCAAACAAAAACAACTATCTCCACTCGTTATACCCATGGACAGTCCCCGAATGGAACCTCCTACCTGACGCTACTAAAAACCAACCCACACTGAACGCCTTCAAAACCCAACTAGACAAGATAAATATCGGCCAACTCTCCACCCATGCGCACTTCAAAATTTAGTCATCAACCAGCACCATGACAGCGTTACCTGCACGTGATAGCCCCACCATAGGCGATTGTGCAGTAGCATACAGATACAGATACAGATACGTTGCACGGGGACACATTTACCAGGGGGGACACATTTAACGTCGTGCAGGGGGACAGATTTACCTAGAGGGGGACAGGTTTACCTAGGTAAAAGTGTCCCCCCCGGACAGATTTACCGGGTCACGACCCGGTAAATCTGTCCGGGGGGACACATTTACCAGGGGGGACAGAATTACCTGCCACACCGGCACCACTCCTGTGCCATACTTGCCGAGTAATGACTCAGAACGTATGAGTAATTCATAATAACGAATTAATAATCCGTATTAACGAATTAAATAATCCGTAATAACGAATTAATAATCCATAACGAATTAAATAATCCGCAACATATATACTAATGGGCTTTCGTAAATTCTTATCTGCGTACAGCATCCTTTCTGACGCACAGCACGCATTTAGAAGGTCTCGATCTTGCGACACCCTGCTCATCACAACTCTGCACGACCTGGCTTCAAACCACCACAGACATGGCGCCATCCTTGATTTCAGCAAGGCATGTCCCTCATCAGCGCTTGCTCCACTACTTTGACATTAGGAACAAGTCCTTACACAACGGATTGAATCGTTCCTCCAATTATGGCGAGCCAAAGTAACATTTATATAGCATTAACAAAGTCTTAAAACAAATTAAAGATATCTCTAAATGATTTAGAGATATCTCTAAATATTTAGAGATATCTCTTAATACTTAAAGATTTCTCCCAATCGTTTAAAAGGCAAATTATTTTGATAAATAGGTGACACACGAAAGAGCTTTATTGTCAATGATTTAAAGATATCTTTAAATTATTTAGAGATATCTCTGATTCATTTAGATATATCTTTAAATCATTTAAAGATATCTCTAAATTATTTAGAGATATCTCTAAATGTTGGCATCAACGATTGCTTTAAACACACCGTTTTTATTGGTCACAATGACGTCTTTTAATAAAATTTCTATTGCCGTCCTTCTTTAATTGAAATGATAAATGTGGTTGGCATCAACGTTGACTTTAAGTGCATTATTTGGCAACATGAATGAATGGAAATTCTTTCATTTGCAACTTCGGTTTGACATGAAATGCATTGTTGAATAACATCATTCGCCTGAGTGTGCGGCGCTTCCTAATTTGTGAACCTCGACGGAACTGTGAATGTTTTAGAGATAAATATTTAGAGATATCTCTAAATATTTGAAAACATGCGTAGGTGTTCTGAACAATTTACACACGATTTAGAGATATCTCTAAAACATTTAGAGATATCTCTAAATGAATTAGAGATATCTCTAAATCCTTTTAGAGATATCTCTGAATCCATTTAGAGATATCTCTAATTCATTTAGAGATATCTCTAAATCTATTTAGAGATATCTCTAATTCATTTAGAGATATCTCTAAATGTTTTAGAGATATCTCTTTATCTCTAAATGAATTAGAGATATCTCTAAATCCTTTTAGAGATATCTCTAAATGGATCTCGAGATATCTCTAAATGAATTAGAGATATATCATATATCTCTAAATCCATTTAGAGATATCTCTTATTCATTAAGAGATATCTCTAAATCCATAATTCATTTAGAGATATCTCTAATTCATTTAGAGATATCTTTAAATCCATTTACAGATATCTCTAAATCATTTAGAGATATCTCTAAATTGTGTGTTAAATAATAAGACACCTACTTCGTGCATTCCAAGATTTAAAGATATATCTTTAAATATTGAGACATATCTCTAAAGCGGTTACGGCTCCGTTGAACCACTAAATACAATGCTTTGCACGCACAAGTCAATCATGTTGCCATATCGAATGCACGATCAAATCGCCGGTGTTGTATTTCAAGTATTGCATTTGAAGTGAGTGGTGTTGCCATTTTTTAAAGTCATCCTCGAGGTCGTCAATAAAATGATTGTATTTACTGAAGCCCGTGTTACCAACATTTTAACAATAGCTCAATGCTGCGCAAATTAAAACACGATTTAAAGATACATATATCTCGAAATGATTAGAGATATCTCTAAAACATTTAGAGATATATTTAAATGATTTAAAGATATCTCTAAAATTTTTAGAGATATCTTTAAATCATTTAAAGATATCTTTTAATACATAACAGACATCGTCGATAACAATAAATTGTTTTAATGACTTTGCTAATGCTATATAAATGTTACTTTGGCTCGCCATATCCAATCGTTCCCAGATTTATTGTAAATAAGAATACATCACCTTGACGGTACTAGGCCCGCGTGCACTCCTCATTCTCTGCACTGGCGTATATCCAGAGGGGGCAGGGGGCACCGTGCACCCCCGGCGGAATTTCTTTTTTGACAAATATTTTTTTCAGCAATTATTTCAATAAAATGGTTAGAGAGTTTTGATATCAATCCCAAAAAAGAAAACCTGCTCAAAAACCATAACAATGAGCCGTGAAAATGGGCAATTAATTTGCAGTGTGACTATCTTATTTGCTAAATCAAACATTTTACAATGTAATGACTTATATTACCTTAATTTAGGAAAATTAATGTATAAATTTATGCATAATTTACTTCCGTCATTTTTAATTCTTGTTCTACCTTAGCATCTAACATTCATGCATATAACACTCGAAGTTGTGCTAGGGGAAATTTGTTCGTCCAATTTGTTATTCACAGAGGCACCTTGTACTGGAATAGTTTAGAAAAATCGTTACCCTCACTATCTGTCTTTGTCACAAATTTAAAAACTCACTTTCTCGAATCGTATTCATAAATTGAAATTCCATCATTTTGTGCATTAATAATTAGGCCTTGTCTCACACTTGTCCTGTCTGTCTCACGCAGTGTTTTGTCTGTCCCTTATTACAGTACTTTGGTTGTATGTTTGTCCATAGGTAAGGGCACAAAAGCGTTCTGCTTAACCTTATACCTAAAGGTTGTCATTTAATTTCACACTTTATTATTAATCACTGTATACATAACTATCAAATGTTGTACTACTTACTTTTTCTAATTTATACATGTTTGTACATAATTGTAATGAATGACATCATTGAAATAAATGTTACTACTACTATCTAAAAAACTATCAGTTTTGAAGAGCGTCCCCCATTTGGAAGATGGGAAATATTACAGTAGTGGGAGCGTACTGCTGAATTCTATGAATACCTATCCAAAGCTAGGGGCGCCCTTCCCATAGCCCAATATTTTAATGACGTCTCCTGTTTCATGGGTTACTGTACAAACAGATACCCAGTGTCTGATCTTCCCCATAACGATCTTGCTTTGAGTGGACTTGCCGCGAATTTTACTCCGTGCTGTATTTCCTAATCGTGAGCTGTGCTGCATCGAAACGTTTCAGTAGACTAGTACTTTAGTAGCGAGCGAGTTTTTGCATACGAAATAATGAGTGTTAAAGGTCTGCCTTCGTTATTAGATAAGTTTCGGTATCAGGAACGAGCACCTTCGAGGTTTCTTAAGTTGGATCCTTCGTCATGTTCGTCGCAATCAGCTAGCGACAGCCATGACACTTTTGACAGTGCTGCAAAGTCTCCAACATCTTACAATAATCAGGGCAACAATGCCAATGAGCATGCAACATTTACAATATCAAGTCCTTCTTCTGTTCAGTCCCAAGGTATTTGCGTAAATACATGATGGACTGTAGCAATATTTGATTAACTTCCCCAATTTTCTTTTTAACTCTTTTTACTAATCTTTGACTTACTAGCTAGTCCTACCTACCATGCATTAATTATTGTTTCCCCGACCCTGTCCCCTCCCCCACCCCCTGGGCTGCCCCACCCAAGATGTGGGGATTGTCACTTTTGAAATGACAAAATCCCCGGAAAGAGTGTTGCAACCTGACGCTACTTCAACGATTGTGTGCAAAGTCTATGGAGAGTCAAGAAAATTTTCTTGGCCTTGGCGGGCCCTATATTTCCTAACAAAATTTAGAATATTTCTCGGTCCCAGATTCATCATGTCTTGTTATCATTTTTGCAATGGCAGACTGTCATTGAGATGATATATGAAGAAAAAAGCAGAGTCAGGTTGCAACATTCTATCCACATCCCCACCCCTCGGGTTTGGGCAAAATTTAAGTGACAATCTCCGACATACATGTACATCATGTACATGTACATACATGTACGTGGGGCGCACTAGTGACTGCCTTTCCATGTAGTACGCCTGTGGTAACAATGTTTTTGAGTAACCAAAATGCCCACCCTGGGGCATTAGAAATGTGACCAAACCCCCGACATCGGACCTGAAGGGGCATAAAAAACAGCTTTCAAAAGTAACTTTTGTATTCACGTTAATATGCGCCATCTTGCCTGCGGGGCAATTTTACACACGTTGCTGTGTACACATCAGCAATTGAACTCTTTTGCACTTCCAAGACATCATGCGTTCATTCCAATAAAAAAATACGTCTAGCATTGCGTGTTCCTTTTGCCCCGTGAACAAGATAGAAATATTACCTTGAAACACCTTATTGCCTTTTTTAATGTATGAGTTTATCTGAAGTTGTGTATTATTACAAATTGACGCCCTTCTTTATCACTGCTTACAGAAACCTTTTATATATATGTGCATCATTTTGTAACACATTTTCCAACTTTGTGAGCTGAAGGTTCATACTTGTTCATCAAAATTCAACTTGTGCCTAAATTTTGCTTGACTTTTAAAGGCATTCAAAGTGCCCTTGAGTGCTAAATTAGTTGATGCACAATCCCTAACTGGCTTTAGAAATAGATACCGGCCATTACACCTACCATCAAATCTATCCTCCTATTATATTAAGCAACTATCTTTGTTAATTTTAACCAAATTGATTGGGTTGTAGGCAAACCTTATGCATAATATTCCCATCAAAGAGCGGCATAGTGTTGTAGATGCATTCCCATGTTATTTTCAAGTTTCATCCCCAAAATAGATTTTTCTTAATTGCTATTTTCTAGCAATATACAAAGGTTATTCACTTATGAATGAGAAATGACCCAAAAAATTGGCCCCTGTTTAGTTACTGAATTATTGTTTTACAATTTTGAATTATTGGTTTCCAGACAATAATTCGGTTTCTTGTCGGGTAGGCTGGGTCCTGCTCCACAATCAGTATCGATAATGTACAGACCGTGAGACAGTCTGCTCGCAAAGTATATGTGGAATTTCATTTAGCAGGCTGCGTACTCAATTTGTAAATTTGGGCATTTATGAGGTTATTGATTGCCATAATTCATGTGTTTATTTTGTATATTTTCCTTCTCCATTACATAACCCCAACCATGCTGAATCCATCAGGATCCAACTATCATATACCTGATGGAGCCTGTTGCATTGAGCAGTAAATCCCTTGTGTACATTCTTCATACAAAATGTTGGATTCAGCAGGCAACTGAACCGCATTATAAACAAGTTGGACTCCGTTGGATTCAGCAGACAACTGAAAATAAGGCACAGTGGATTGAGCAGGAACTTCGGTTGGACTCTGTTGGATTTAGCAGGGTAGTCCTGAGGAAGTACTAGGGGGTTAGGGATAATTAGTCATTAGGAATGAAGGAGTAGAAACATTGCCCTCCAATAACAATGGAGAGGTATTGTTCCATACAATCATTGTGCAAAATAATAGAGCGATAGAACAGTACATGTAACTTGATGTCACAGGTAGCGCTTACAGACAGGACAATATTATAATATGCAGGAACTATATTTTGAAAGAACATGTGCTTAGTAAGGGCATGAACATATCTAAACTCAAAAGTTGTTTACTGTTTTATTTGTACCGACAGACTCTGAGGTTACCTGTATACCTGAAACTCCTACATCCATTGTGTCGAGCCCAAGGAGTCCCATCATTAGCAAGACCAAACAGCTAACTAGTAGATATCATGCTAAGATCATCACTGACACTATCTCCTCAGATTCTGAAGACTGTGGAACACCAAAGACAACCATGACAAATATCAGAAGGAAACCCAACATTAGACCTCTTGGAGAAAGGTAACTGGTGTAATTACTAAGCACCTTTGACAAAGGATACACATCACTAATTATTACCCCTGATCACCAAGCCATGAGACGTTGGACTAGTTTGACTGTTGTCATGTTTACTGCGTGCCACGCTACTGGTCTTAGTCTTTACAGTAGTTGGCTTCTTTTCTCAGACTTTAGCAGTAGTGATCTTGACTCGGACCCAGACAGTAGTGGTCTTGGTCTTTACTTGGACTTTGGTAGTACTCGTTTTGGTCCTGACTCTGACCCAGACAGAAGTGGTCTTGGTCTGACTCTGACCCAGACAGAAGTGGTCTTGGTCTGACTCTGACCCAGACAGAAGTGGTCTTGGTCTTTACTCTGACCCAGACAGAAGTGTTCTTGGTCTTGACTCTGACCCAGACAGTACTGGTCTTGGTCTTTCCTCAGACTTTGGCAGTACTGGTCTTGGTCTTGACTCTGACCCAGACAGTACTGGTCTTGGTCTTTACTCAGACTTTGGCAGTACTGGTCTTGATTTAGACTTGGGCAGTGCTCTTGATTTAGACTTGGACAGTACTGGTCTTGAATCTGATCCAGACCAATAATTGTTGAGGATACAACTTTCCCTTGTCTGCTGATTTTTCAATGTTTGTGTTGTGTCTTGCAGGAAATTCCGCTTGGTATCAACTGGGAGTGAAGCATCTGATTCAGAAGATGATGATCATAGCTCTGCAGCCGTAAGCTCTGATTCCAAATCCAGTAGCCCAGTCTTTGGTGCTAGTTCATCCTGCCATCGTTCTGAGCCACTAACATCAGCAGGTATGTCATTACGCCATGTAAATATCATAACTAGATGTTCATGTGTGTTGTAGCTAGAGATACGGGGTGAGTGAGTCAGTTCAGTGATGTGAAGTCACTGTGGAAAAAACCCAAAAACATCACCAACAAACTCATGAAACATTTTGATGCCTAATATCAAGAAGTGTAGTCGTTTGTACACAATAAAATCACTGGGGTTTATACTCAATGATAGATTGGAAGTAAATGAAAAAGATCGTTTTCAAAATTACCCCACAAAAATCTCCGGGTTGATGATGTGATCGAGGTATATTTCATTTTGAGTTGTGCATCTCAGGACCATAGTTCATGATCATACCAGGTTTCATGTTCATACCATGAAAATTTGTTACTTTTTTTAATTTTGAGGCTAAAATTTATCTAATGGGCTTAACTAAGTTTTACTACTTTATGATTATTAAACATTGCAGCTTTTTACAAATTTCAGTTTCTAACAAAGGACCAACTATTTCATCGTGTTGATTTTCAACTCACCCAATGACTCTTTGCTCATGTTGAAATTGACATAGCAAGGTGAAATATAACCTAAACTGTTTATTTGTGAATCCTATTTATATATTTGTTTCATTCAGGTACCAGTGCATATGGTCCAGCAGGTAGTAAACATTCATTCAAATTCAACAAAACTCTGAAGCTTGACTCCACTGGTAAGCAGTCTCCCATTCAGTACACAGCACTGCCAAGTAGCTCAGAATCAGATACTGACACTACCACAATGGGCAGTCATTCTCACTCATTGAGCAAAGCTAGCTTAACTGAGCTTGAGACATCACCTCCAACAGTCAGAAGAAAGAGGAAAAGAAGACGGATTTTGTCTGAGGGTCAAGAGAGCATCGATGGAGGTGTGGAGGAAGAAAAAATAGAGACAAGACAGAAGGAAGATGTCAGGAAACTACAAGAGATGTTTCCTGAATGGCCAGCCCAGGTTGGTCTAGCATTTGGTAATTTTGTGAAAGGGAATGGTTAATGTAGATGAGCAATTTCATGGTAACTTATGTTACGTTTAAAGAGGGTGTTCTGTCAAATCTTTGCTGTTAAAAGTGAAAGCATTTAGGATGGATTTTTCTCACAGAAGATCCCTTGAAGTCAAGTGACTGAACTTCCAAAAAAAAAGCCCTACAAAATACATTTCTGTTGGTTTTGCAATAACTTTTTTGTCACTAACTCGTGTTACACAAAAAGGACGTGGCCAAACTTTAAATACCTCACATATGAAAGTGTCCTCCTACTCTGCATCTCCATCATAGCCAGCCGAGGCCCCTCTGTCAGCTTTGAAGTCCTTTTGTTATTTTTTTTTACATGTAATTTATCTTTGGCAAATATCTTTGGCAAATATCTTTGGCAAATATCTTTGATTCACACTTGCTTTTTTGCAGCAACTCAAGGATACACTTGTGTCTGTTGATTGGTGTGTTGAAGAAGCAGTAACTGTCATGACTACCAAAGACATCGATGGTACCTATTCAGGTATGAACATTTTGCTATTATAGAACAGTCATGAAACCTTTTCTTAGATTAACTGCTTTCCTAATTTTGTGACTTCCCAAGGGTACCCTTAAAATTGAAAAACACTCATATGCTGATTGTGCGTTTCAGTTTTGGGCATATCGGCTTCGATGACGCACCGGTATGGAATACAAACGCAGATGTGCAAATAGCCGTACAAAAGCCGTACACAATTCTAGTTCTCCATAGGTTTGTGTACAAACATGGTTGCGCCTAGCAGGCATCACTTTGTACATGAGTCAGCGCTCTAGTAATTTAATATAGCTCTACGCATATAACACATGCAATGTCATGGTAATTAAAAAAACTCTGCATAAGTCTATTTAGGTGAATGACGGGCGACCTTTCCTGTGCCAATAACCATGGGTTGTCCCAGACGACCATTGACTAGTACACCTGTTACTTCACACCCATCCCCCCCCCCCTTCAACTTTCTGAGCCGAGGCAAGACAGGAACTGTTGAAATCATAGATGAAACACTATACTGCGGTTTAAAAGAAGGGTGATCTTTTTTACATTTTTCTCTGCGGACCTGTCAGACTGTGGCTACATAATAAGTGAAGGAGTGGTTTGAACAAATGATAAGAAACTGGTAGGTAGGACCAACAACGGCAAAAACTATCTCACGTGTGAGGCTGTTGTGAGGTATGGAAGGCGATCTTAATGGACTTACTTTACTCTGACTTTTTCTTCCAAGATGACAACAATTCATTCAAAGGAAAGCAGGTACATAGGAAAAAGCGTCGCAAGATTGAGCGTACGTCTGACAAGGAAAACAAGCAACAGTGGCTATCCAAGTCCAAAATGACTTCATATTTCCCAAAGGTAGGTGAAAAGTTTGACTATAGTTGTTCACACTGAGAATCCCGACATATTTCCAGCCATACTTCAGCTGATCATGCATGGTAATGTTCATTTCACGAGGTCTTGAGTCTAGAGGGTTTTTTTTTTTTCAGACATAAGGCCCATTCTAAATTACTATTGTGCCAAACTCAAATGTGAGTGAGCTCAGCAGTAGCTCGGCTGTAGCACAGTGCAGTTGCTCTAAACACCGAGCTTAATAGTAGAACTAAATGCATCTAAAGTAGCTTGCCGGGTTAAAAATAACATTGAAGCAGTTCAATGCACTTTCAGCACAATCGCACTCCCCGTGATGTGGACGCGAGCATGCGCATCCCTAAAATGGTTGTCCCAACTTTGAATTGAATTGAGTTTAGCACGGTGTTAGAACATTGCCGTGCCATTGCCGTTTGGAATGATGATGACACGCCAGACCCTGTCAAAGGACGGTACCGTACCGAACTCAATGGTTCTAAACACCATGCTATCTAGGGCTGTGCATCCAAACGGGGTACCCAAGTACCCGAATGCTAATGTCAGGAACCGGTTCCAGATTATTGAACCCGTAACCAAATTTACATGTTACTTAGTGATTTCTCAGACAATGAAAAGAAAGGTTTTGAATGTTAGTTGGGGGGAATTTTCAAAATGAAAACCAGGCTACATTGAAAAATAACACAGATGTACGTTTATGACGCTTGCAAAAATGCAATTTACACCATAAAGTTATAGAGCTCTGTGCACACTTGTATCGTGCTGCATTGATATGACGCACCGATGCAGTAGTATTAACATGCAGACCTTTATGAACAATGTGAACAGCATCTTCCCAGATTTGAATTTTGGGGTTGGGATTCTTTAACCCTAACCCCCATACTTGATTTCCTCATCCTTGCAAATTCCAACACCAAATGGTAAACTGTACACATAAGTCACATTAACTTATTCTGTTTATTTGTGGGATGCCTAACCCTGTGTAAAGCACTGTCAGTTTACTAGTGCAGTACTCATCCTGCCATATTCCAACAAACCCTGGTGTTGGAGTTTGACTGGGTGGGGATCATTAGGGTTAACGGTTACCCGTGTGCCCATGGGTTTGTGTTTTTTTCCGTTCTGGTACCCGATTCCTGTACTACCCGCAAATGCACACCTTTAATACTATCACCATGGCAAATTTTAAAATGTTGATTTAATTGATTTTAGCATGGCAGTAGCATGGGATCATTTAGAACAGGCGTAACATTTTGATTTTGTTTTAAAGGGAGTGGACTACATTTGTGCAGATATCTGCTGCCAGTTTGAAGACTCTTTACCCTAACCTCACCGAAAGCTACCAAATATTACTAGTAGTAAACTGTAGTATGCAGTACTTCAGCATATAAGTGGGTACAGCACTCATAGTATTTCTAGTATTTGGTACCTGCATACATTTTTTTGGTTGTTCTTTGTAGTATGTGGTACTTTACCCCAAATGAACTTGTTGGGGTTTAGGGTTAATATAGCTTTCCTAATTTCTTACATAATTGAATTATTTCCATTTACACACTTCATATTTGGAAAGAAATGTACACAGAAGTTAAACTTGAAAAAGTAATTACATTTTTTTAAAACTTTTTGTAAGATAACGAAGCCAGGTCAGCAGAGGATTAAGTTGAAGGAGAGACGGCCAGATAAAGACGTGTTGAGTAGTGAAGATGAGACCTTCTCATTGAGTAGTGATAGCTCTGATGAAGAAACCTCACAGCAACTTAATGGTGCGTTCCATTTCCTATGTTTCATACCTTGCTTGCTTATTCCTCTCCATGAAATTTGTTGGCATACACCTGGCAATTGCATTCACTCCTGCATGGTACTAAATAGTTCAAAGTCATTACCTAATTATTCTTTAACTTAAGAAGTGAAGTGTATTCAGTCTTCAGGACCAATTTATTGGGTACACACCATGATGATCAGATCTCTTCTTGAGAGACCTTGGGAAGAGTTGTCAAAGGTACTAGAGCATATCGCCAATTCTTGGACCATTGGAGGCAGAGCAGAAACAGACTCAATTCCATCCTAAAAGCCTGATAACTTTGCCATTGAAGAAAACCAACCTATCATCAAGTTCCTGTGGGACATGGGCAGGTAAGGCCCTCGTCATGTGTGGGAAGAAGAGCTTTCCAGTGACCCAAAAGAGATCAGTTGGGACTAGCTATCTGATTGAAATGGAACTCAGATTTTGAAGTGACAAGGAGGTTTCGGTATTCGATGCAGATTTCATTCATTTTCAATTACTCTTTCGCCGCACTTGTTTTGCTGCACAAAGTCTATCAACATACCACGGTGCATGTGGCTGAAGTATGGGGTCCCCCCCCCCCCCAATTGGCAAGAAAGGGAGAGTTGGGGAGACCTGGACTGGTTCCTGGTCCCATTGCGGTATTTGAATGTACCCATATTTATGAGGGGCAGCACCCAGTCTGAGAGACCATCGGAAGAGACATTTGAACCCATCACGCGCTGCTGACGCTTGACACTCAACGCTAAGATGCTCTTGCTTAGCTTTGTGCACATGCAGGATAACGCATGCGGTGTGTCCCATCCAAGTTTCAACTATTTCAATTAGCATTATTAAATTATTATACAGGGTGTTTTTAAAAAAAAAGGAAACCGAGCTTATTTTGGTGATTTCTCGGGTATGACTAATTATTTCGGAAAATGGTACCCACCATCTGTTACATAACCATGTCTTCTTTTTCTTGACACCACGAACTCCATTTTACCGCCACGGATGACTGAGCACCAAGTGATGTAACTGACATGCCAGAAATGGCCTTGTACCACATGGATGCATAAGACCAATTGACAGTTTTCAACAAGTTGAAAATAACAAAATCCAGGACGTACATTATCAAAGTCATTCATTCAATTGCTAAAACATATCAAGGCTTATCACTGTCCCCGTTAACCCCACTGTCCTTCAACATGCCCCCCCCCCTCCATTCCTTCCAACGCAAATCTCTGCCCTGGTTCTCATTGCTGGGAACGCATTCCTGATATCGTCTCTCTCTCTCTCTCTCTCTCTCTCTCTCTCTCTCTCTCTCTCTGATAACTGTCAATTGGTCTTATGGTGCATGTGGTACAAGGCCATTTCTGGCATGTCAGTTACATCAATTGGTGCTCAGTTATCCGTGACGGTAAAATGGAGTTCGTGGTGTCAAGAAAAAGAAGACATGGTTATGTAACAGATGGTGGTTACCATTTTCCTAAATAATTAGTCATACCCGAGAAATCAACAAAATAAGCTCGATTTCCTTTTTTTTAAAACACCCTGTATGTTCAAAAATTTATAGTTTCAAAAATTTCAATTACATGTAGCATTATTAGATTTTTATGTTTCCTGAGAACCCTCTCCAAATATTGAAATTATAATATCACATTTGTTGATGAAGTGTTGTTTTGATTTGTAGGTGATGACGATAAAGAACAAAGTGAAATGAATGTTCTCATCTTATCCTTCTTCAATGATGCGACACCGGAGGAGTTGCTTAGTATCAGTCAATGCTCTAAGACTAAGGTCAAGAAGATTGAAGCCTTGAGACCATATGGAGACTATGATGACCTGGTGAGTCATGCTGTCAAATGCAAGGGCGGATCCAGAACACAATTTTGGGGGGGGCCAAAAAAATTTTGGTCCCCCAAAAAGTGGGTCTACAAAATTACGGCGTGGGGTTCGGGGCCCGCTAGGGCCCCGAAAATTTTTTGGATTCTAGATGCTCTGTGGTGCGATCTGAGGCAATTTCTGACCACTTTAACCAATTTTTTTGAGGAAAAGATGGTGATGTACTCATTGCCTGCCTTTATTGCGATGTCACATTAAAAAAAAAAAAAATTGGTTTCGTTTTTGGGGGGGCCATGGCCCCCTTTGGCCCCCCCTGGATCCGCCCTTGGTCAAATGTAGACATCATGTGCTTCAATCACACAGCTTAGCTGATGAATCTCATGTTAGATATGTGTGTGCAGCCTTGGCTTGTTTGCTGTAAACCTGTATTCGCTCACAATACAGGTTGTGTCAAAGGTATGTAATTGGATGATGCAAGTACATTAACCCTGGCCCTTTGGGCATTTTGTTTTTGCAAGCATGCTTTCTGAAGCCAAAATTGTGCTGTAAAATAATGCCACATTTATTGCACTTTGGAACATCGAAGCCTAGGAACATAGAGTTGTTAGGTTTTAAATATTTCAATTTAGACATTCTGAGCTTGAGTAAAGCTAACTGCCATACTTTTTGTGTAGGTACATTTTGGCATTATTTGTCAATAGTTAAAATTTGCCCCAAAATAGCTGCCTATTCCGTCATGAGTGTTTGAGCACAGTTAACTGATTTTGTGTAACTTGCTGTGTGTTCCCCCCCCCCTTCCTTTTTTCAATGAGAATCAGGTTTTAGTAAAGCCAAGTAAGACCGCCAGAACTTAAGAATGACATCTAGTCCCTACTACTGTCCTCTTTGACTTGAGCCAAATTTGAGTATAAAGCAGGTCACTGATTGTCCCACAGATCAGTAAGTTTGACAACACAAAGGGCCTTAGCACCAGCCTAGTCTGGAATTGCCACGAGGTCTTCCAGAGCCAGCAAGTCATGACAACACTTATGAATAATTGTGCCAAGATTGGTGACAACATCCAATCCCTTATCTGCCGCCTGCTTCCTGATCAAAATGGAGAGACTGATGAAGGAAGGATAGAAGGACAAGTTACTAAACAGCCAGCTCTTCTGTCAGACAAGTAAGTATCTTTTTATAAGACAGAATTTGCGTTGGGAAAATGTAAATTATATACAGTCGGCTCCCGTTAAAGCCAGAGTCCATCATTTGCAGCCATCCGAAAAGTAACTGGCGTAATTATTGTTGAAAAACAAACTTGGTTGAAAGATAGTAAGGGAACTAAACTCCCTGTGAAATTATTCTTTCTGGAAAGCTGTCATTTTGAAGTAATCAACGAAAAAAGGCATTTCCAACGGTGATTCTTAAGAAGCACCGTAGGAAAATTTAAATTAGTAGTTAGTTTTGTTATTTAGCGCAGCGCGCACAAGTATTGGAACGACGCACAGGCGCGCGCGGTTGCTATAATTCGTCGGATCAGTGCGCGACGTCGCGTATAGCTGCAATTCAAAACAATTCAAAACATGATTCAGTAACTTTTGATTTGAAATTGAGATCTTAGAATGCTGTTTTTCTCAGAATGTACAGCTGAAGCTTAGCTGAAACTTCATCAGGTTAGTTGCTCAGTATTCTTCATTAGATCTTTTGTTGCTTCAAACGAACAAAATGCACAAATTACAAATGATGGACTGTAGCTTTAATAGCGAAAACGGTTAGTGCGAAATTACGGTTATAACAAACACATATCTTTGGACCCGGCAAAATTGTGCACATGTCTATGGGGAAGAAATATGTGGAGACGAAAACGGACAGTATGAAATTGCTGTTACAACAAAAGGTTTTGGCGACCCCATTGTATAAAAAAGCATGCATTATTAGCGACCCATTTACTAGGAAAAAAAAAACTAAAACCACAAAAGCTTTATTTCAAAGCTTTTTTTTCTTTCAGACCTAATCTGCAAGCAGCATAATTACGTTCATCAATGGGTTTAGTCAGTTATTTAATCTTGCCAACACTGTGGTATGTGCACTAATTGCTCGCTGCGGTTACAAACAAAGGCCTGTGCTGATGGACACCATGATGCAATGATGCCCAGTGTCACCACTCAAAAATTTGGCTAATTCTAAAAATTGGGAATGGTAACCCCGGATCCTATAGGACACACCAACAGACACAATAAATGACAAGAAAGAACAAACTTCTGATATTTCCAATCAGTTCTGAGCACTTGTTATGTACAGCAAAATCTTATAAGCAAATTCTTCAATTTAAATTACACTCTCAAGCTTGGAAGGAGATTCCCAATTTAACTTCAGATCAGTTGAATTACTTCCAACTTATTAAATCAATAAATGACAAGATCATAAAAAGTACGTTCAATCAATTAATTACAAAATCCTTAAAAAAACATTGTTCAGTCAATCAGGCACTATCAATTTGTTTCCAAATGTAACTCTGTTACTAGACTACGAGGTAATTCTCTTAATTATGTACATAATTCCAGTTTCTACAAACTTTAAAGCGTTGGAGTTCCCGGCGTCTGAGGGAACGTGGTGGGCACAACTCACAGGACTCGGCCGGCTACGCCTCAGTAAATACTCTACGTCTACAGCACCTCAGTAGTAGACTCCTTCTCCAGTCGGTGTTAGAGTCGACAGGGGAATACTCTCAACCAAAAAAGCCATCTATAATAAATATAAATCCAAAACCTTCCTAGTTCTCAAACATCTACATAGATTATGGTCTAGTTTGTCTTATATCGTCAAACTCGATTTTCACAATTACATATTATCAAAATTCTCCCTGATTAAAATGGTTGACTCAAGTCTCCTCGAAAATGTTAAATCAGAGTCGTTATTTCACAATGAACTTAATAATTCTTATCACCAATCTTAAGGCTGTAACTCAATTCATGACATACTTGTACTTCAATATAATAGGAAGGAAAATCACAAAATAAATACACTTACGGTAATTTGCTGTGCAGCTTTCTTGGAGAGGCGAACTGTTGCCAGGAAATGTCAAAGATGACCGGGACAGTTTTATGGCTGGAATTCGGCCTGAATTTACCAAATTTTACGGATTTGAATTTCCGTCTCTCTTCCCATAGGGATCAAACGGATCCACAAAGGCTATGATCTGCTGTTCTCAGATATCTGATGCAAGGGAAGTTACAACCGGTCTCTCCAGCACACGATCACGATCAAACACACGTCTGCATTATGCAGACCATATGCACAGGATTGTGGGTAAAATATGGTGCAAGCCAATAAGCTCATGTTGCCTCTGTGATGAAAATTTCATCAGACTTTAAGATCCAATCACGATGTACCATTATGACATCATTGCTCAGGAAACTGTCTCATGAGGGTGCTTTCTCATTAGCTGGTACAAGCAAGCAAACAATTATTTTGAATCAAGACGTGAAAATTACATGTAGAAATGAACCAAGGTCTGAAGGTCTCTCGGACTTGATTTTTGCTGGAAAGACTATTAACATTAAACATTGAAAGACGGAAGGTACATTGTATAAAAATAAATTAGGAACGTCTATCTCCACGACACAATTTGTGCAGAAGAGTTTACTAAGGTTGAACAGTTATGCTCTGGGGGTCCAGTTGTCTCACTTCCAACGGTGTTCGATACAATGACTCCGTCTTCAACCCTCGAGATTTTCAATGAACATTTTGACCGGGTCCCGCAGATTTCGTACTAACGGGAGTCGACTGTATATGGTTTGCCCTTCACCAACGTATTTTTATGTTAATAAATGTTGTCTTGCACGAAAAGTTCACAAGCTCACTCAGATGGGACTCAATTTTTTCTTGCAAGCCCTTGTACATTACTGAGTATACAGTGTTTATAAAAATAAGTCAGTGAAGGGCAAAACCAATATACAATCAAATGCATAGCTGCCAACTATTACGAATTTTTCGTAATTATTACGAATTGTTTGTTAAATTACAAAAATATGAATTGCCACTACAAAAATTACGAATTTCCCATTTACTACCTAACGAAAAAAAAAAATACTTGTAAAGTATCGTTTTTGCCCGAAAACTTCCGGCGAAATGTTACGATAATGGATGGACTGGTGACAAGTCTTAATTAGTAATGCGGTCAAGCACCTAATAGACATCAATGCGGTGTGCACAGTGGAGTACTTGAGGACCAGACTAAAAATATTTTTCAATGGTGTGTCATTTGTGCATGTGTGCCTCGTGGATGTTGGCGGGATATTTCTATTGCATACGATGGCCCTAAAATGTGTGTAAAAACATGATACGAACTCAAAACTCAACACCGATAGCATACATCTCAAAATATATGCGCACATGTTATTATTGTTATTATTTATTTGACTTCAACAAACAAATACAGACAGTGAAACAAAATTGATTTTAAAAATTGATTTTTTTTTTTTTTTTTTTTTTAAATTACCCTATGCCAACAGTACATTATTAATCACAGCAAGAAGGGTATGCACATGTATGTGTACATGTAAATCATTTACCTGCACTCGATGTTGGTAAAGCTGGTACATACAGTTGAAAATGACTGCGCAGGTTGATTACTAATTGGGATTTTGAAAAGTTGGCAGCTATGCAAATGATCATTCTAGGCCCCAGAACTTAATAAAAGAAATTAATTCTGTAAAAGAAAAGCTGGAGCGTAATGCAGTAGAGCATTAATGTGTCTGAAGCAATTTGTAATTCCAGCACTGATTTAATGTTAGCTTCTCTGATAAATACTGACCTTTGACCTGTATGTGTTGTTTCCAGACTTATTCTCAAGCCTTATCAGATGATTGGACTCAACTGGCTGGCTCTCATGCATAGGCAAGGAGTTAACGGCATACTAGCTGATGAAATGGTGCGTTTATTACTAAGACTTATGTCATCTCTTCTCGAGAATTTTCTTTTAGTTTCCTTGGTCTTGAAGTTTTGCTGTAAGTTTATGTTGATGTCCCTGATTGTGGCACATCACCTCATGTGCCTTCTAGCAAATTCTAAATACTCATTTTCATAAATCTTGACTTTACCAACAATACAAACTTACAAGAGGAGTGTTAGTTCGACCCAATTTCTTGATTGAATTTTGAAGTGCACAGTTAAGCTTTTTAAACTGTGTCAAAAAGAAGAACATTCTTTCCTTATAAAAATATAGTTGGATGTGTGAGTGGAAATGTTAATGGTTCATCAGAATTCTTACAAGTTCATTTGGGAATTTCTTTGATTTGTTAAGCAACCCTCCACTTGATTTGATGCCCAATTTCCAAACAACACCTTGTGAGTTTTTCACTAAATTTAGGAATTCCTAAACTGTACAGAATGTTTCCCTTGCAAGTTTCATTATGCAACAGTACCAATATTTATAAGTACATGTACATGTAACAACAACAAATGCGAAGTTCATCAAAAACAATATTTGGGAACCCTGGTTGAATTGGGGTTTTTTTTGGGGGGGGGGGGTCCTAAGTGCACCCGTCATGGTACTCCACTATGTAAGCAGCTGCAAGTGGATATTGCAATGTTTATTTCTACACATGCCACTCATATCTGCAACTCAGTTTGAAGCCAATCTTCAAACAGAAACTAGCTGCTGGTACATTCTTCTAGTTCATTGCCGGATTCTTACTTTATTTCCTTTGTGTGCTTCTTTGTTCATTCATTTGTTCCTTCATTTATTGTTGGGTAATTGTTCCTCTGGTTGGTCATTCTCTCTGGGTCATTTGCCAGTTTGGCGGTCGGTTGATATTTGTTGTATTTGTTGTTTTATGCATATAGTCATTCAGACATATTAATGTTTAAAACAATCTTACAACATTACAGATAACGTAGTCCATCGCCCTGCATGTATGTAAGACAGTAAAGCCTTGGGTTACAGCAGATAAACTTCAAATCCGAATAATAACCTCAGTTTTTTTGAGGAACAAAGTCTGTCAGGAATCTGTTCCAAAAGAATAGATTCCACACAGTTCAAAACAATATTATGTGGTATTAAACACAATTTGGAAGGAGATCATTTCTTTTAATGCCCTTTGGCATTAATGGACCTCGACTTCATCTCGGTCCATTAACAGCGGTCACCCCCACACCCGGTCATTATCACGCAGTGAAGACCGTCTCCTCACACTGTTATTCCCTTATTAATGATATTGGCACTTTTTGCCCAGTATCTTACTTGGTAAATTTGAGGTCAATTCTGCATGAAATCATGTCTCCTGCATGGAATCCATTCCCAAAACAATTGAAGTCCCCCTTGCCTATCAGAATGACCAAATCACAGCAGTTCCATCAACACTGCAGTCAACATGTTATCTGCGATTATCTTTAACCATGATATTTCTTTGTCTATCCAGGGTCTTGGTAAGACTGTGCAAACAATAGCATTCTTAGCACATCTAATGGAGCAGGGTGATGGAGGACCTCACCTCATTGTAGTCCCATCGTCTACTCTAGGTATGGACTATGTGCCAGTAACAGGCCCTGACTTGCATTCTTGGCATTCGCCTTGGTATACCCACACAATCATGTAGGGACTACACAAGCCAGTCTACATGGTGACACTGGCAGGAATCGAACCAGAAGTCATTAGAGGCTGAGGGTAAAGAAAGAACCACTACACCAAGCTGACTGCCCATTGATTTGTAAGACCAAAAGCAAAGAAATGGAAGGCATGGCCTCTGTCTTCTGGGTCATTAGCATTGCCAGTAATACCTTCTGTTATTTTTTACACAAACAAAACTCAAGTAAAACACTTAAGACAATTTCAACATGTACTTTCACATGTACATGTGAAACAAATCAAACTCAGTGAAATCATTTAGGACTTTTCTTGAAGGTTGAGCTTGATTCATATCGAGATATTTTAATGCAAACATCAGTAGAAGGCATTTATACCCTACTGATATAAAGGTGCCCATCGTGTAAATACGTACATTGCATTTGGTAATTGGCACAAGTTTTTTTTAACAGAATGGACGAGCATGTGAAATGAATGGGAAAAGAAAGACATTAAAAGATGACCTTATTATTTAGCTAGAATAGCCATGACTATTAGTTTTGTAATAGAGGCATGTTTCAAGTTTGATGTTCATTGTTAAAGCACTTCTGTTCAACTTGCTTTCTTTTTCATTAGAAAACTGGGCACGAGAACTTCATACATGGTGTCCAGCACTGGAGGTTATCTTATACACAGGAACAATGGAAGAGAGAAGAGATCTAAGGAATAATATACTAGATGAATATCTGTCCTGTAATGTCATCATTACATCGTAAGTACATGTATACTCAAAGAATTGGTTTCAGGCAACTGGTATGCAAACCACAGCATTGCACACATTGAACCAGAAAGTGTAGCGCAAACGAATGGAGTACGCGCGCCTGTTGGTTGACGGGCTGAATCACGCGCTAATGTCTTTCACACACATTTTGTGTGTGTGACGTATTCTCTTTGGTACTCCATTCCTGATTGAGATACAAATTCACTGAATTAACCCTTCAACTGTTTCAACTGTCAAATCATCTACATTTCATTCACTTTCCAAAGGATGATAACAAGAACTGTTTTATACATAAAAGCGATGTAATTAACTGCAAACTGCAAACATTTTAACCACAGCATTACATATACTCAAATTTGCAATTGAAACGTATACTTTGAAAAGCATCAGTTTCCATAAAATTACTCAAACTGTGATATTTTACTTTTTAAAGGCATGTAGGAACATTGGTAATAACCCAGACACAGAAGAACCGACTTCATGAGAAAAACATGCTCATAGTGAAGATAGGGAAAGTAGCAAAAACACTGTGAAATTAGTCCTCCTGAAGGTGCTTTCCAAAAGTATGCATGGTGGTTTTCTTAAAATGTATAGTAGCCACTTAGCTCAAACTTCAACAGATAAATGTTATGCACTCTTCTTAAGATTTTGAGCAGTTTTGTTGCTTTAAACGGGAAAAAAATGCACTAAAAAAGAAACGATCATACCGGGTATGTTTTTTGGTCATTTGATACATTACTTTTCTTGTTTCAGCTATAATATGTGTATAAGCAATGTGGATGACCGAAGTCTGTTTCGTAAGATGGGCATCCACTACGTTGTGTTTGATGAAGCACATATGCTCAAGAACATGCAGTCACAACGCTACAAGTTCCTTATGAGGATAAGGGTGAGAACACTCTCCATTGTGCCATTACAATGCTCATGTGGGCTGGGTCTGAACTATGGCGTTTTGGAAAGAACTTTGCGGGAGATGATGTGGGAAAAAAATATTGGATTTTGTCCCTCAAGAGCACTGAGAATACATTGCATAATATTGGTAACATGGAATATTGTAATATTCAGTGTTACTGGGAAATATGCACAAATGGGTATCATATTGGTTCCCAGACTACCAGCTCTACTTTAACAGAAGTCCTGTATTACAAACAGATGGGTTCCTTAGGTGAGGGTGGGTGGGCGGTCACCGCGTTATGGGGAAGTTTTTTATTTTTAGGCAAATTAGGACCGAGTAGTGGGGATTTTCTGCTGTTTCAGCGTCTTCATGTGTAGTCCCCACAACTACAGAACAAGTATATGTGTGCAGGTGTGTATGCGACAAACCCAAATTGTCAATAATTACAGATTGTTTTTGTCAGAGACTCAGAAATCTTAATTCTTTGGCATCTACTTGAGATTCCTTGTGGCTGGAGTTACAATAGTTTAGTCAACCCAAACTTCAACATCTTTTGTACCACTTCCTTACCATGCTTGTTCAGTATCATTATCACAAATGATTTTCCCAACCAACGCTCATAGTTCTTAAGTATGTCGTTCCTGAGTGTCTTGTTTTGAATAATGGTGTTTGATTCAGAACACATCCTTTGTACAGAGATAATCTTGTCTTTTTTACATTGACAGGCTGAGAGAAAGCTGCTTTTGACTGGTACTCCGCTACAAAACAACCTGAAGGAGCTGATGTCGCTGCTCAGTTTTGTCATGCCTAATATGTTCTGTGACAATGCAGCTGAGCTACAGAAGATCTTCAGTCTTGCTGTGAGTCTACAGACCCATGCACATTACTTATTTCCTTATTCTTGTCCTTGATTTAATAAGGACAGAATTCAACTGTACTTATCAAGACCATATTGTTTATTATATAACTGACATACAGATCCTTGTCATTTGATTGGTGGAACTCACATCACGTGACATTCGTTATTGCTCCCATTCACGCCGGGGCTCAAAAAGTCCCATTCGCCCATGGGGAATGGGAAATACTATTGAACAGTTAGGATCATGATGCGGTATTTGTGTGCAAATGCATGCTGATGTGCGCGTTCAGCGTTGGGCGTAGCGCCAAAGAGCCAGCGCTACAGAGATGGGTTCAAACATTTTTTGTGAAGGGGTGGTTTGGAAGAGAGAAATACACTTTCCACAAATTTTGTATTGAAATAAAAGTTCAAATATATCAAATGACAAGGATTTATAATAATAATAATAATAATAATAATAATAATAAAGTATTTATAAAGCCCTTTTACAAGATAGATCAAAGTGCTGTACAAGAGAGGACTAGGATGAATGTTCCATAATTTGGGGCCTGCTATTGAAAAAGATTTGTCAGTTATATAAAACAAATATTGAGTGGCTTTAAATTGTGAAATGGGAGGAATATTATCGTTCGGTAAAATCTGGACTTTTCAAGTTCACTCGGCTTCACCTCGTGAAATGGAAAAGTCCAGATTTTACCTTGCGATAATATTCCTCCCATTTCACTCTGAGCCACTCAATATTTGTATAATAGTACACACCCATTCATTCATAGCACATGTACCTACTTTGATATAAGGAAGAAACTGTGTGAATATGTACACGCAATGTAATGATGCTGAATGCAAATCCTAGATAAGTACATGTCCAGTCAGATGGACACGGTGTTTCTCATTTCTTTTTCTCTTCTCAATTCCCTGGATGACAGATCTGTGTCCAGAAAACATCAACTTAAAAAAATACTAGATTGATGGGGAAAATGCCTTAAAAGTAAACAAGAACTTTTTTCTGGATTTGTTAAACACGCAATCTGACAATGGATCAAAGATAGACAAACGTACATATCACCTTGGTTTGCTTCATGCTGTATTGTATTCAGCGGGTAGTACTTTATACTGGTTCCTGACCCCATCAATCCATCTGTTAATTCATACACAGTGGCGATCATCGTTGCAATAATACTAACAGCTCAATTGTTGACGTTAGGTATCCTAATGCTGTAGCGTCATCAAACCGGTAGTCAGGTGTAATCATTAACATGCCAAGATATTGTCCTATTAATTTTTCAGAAGGTCTTTTCACCATACCTTTCATATGTGTCCTGTCTAAACTAAACCAATATTCGTTTTGCATGTTTTCACTGATGACATCAATCTGCCATCAAATGTATCATGCAATCTTTCTAACCCAAATTTGTCAGTTAGTCTAGTCAGTTTTGACTTTTTGTATTTTTGATTTTCAGAAACAAAAGAGTGATGATCCTTTGAAGCAGAGTACATTTGAACGTGAGCGTATTACCCATGCCAGGCAGATCATGCAGCCGTTCATTCTCAGGAGAGTGAAATCAGAGGTTGGTTACAGTCAGCTGTCCTAGCAGGCCTGAATTGGGATATGCAACAAGGCATTTCAGATTGGTTAGAATGCTGCATCTTCAGTATAAGATGCATGTTATATACAGTTTCATGGCATAAGTTGACATAAATCAGATGGTATTGTCAGTAAATGTACAAACCCAAGAAACATTGAATGACATTGAAATATCTTTTTCCAGTCAAATAAGAAACAACCCACCCCCCCCTTCCAAATGTCCAAACGTCCTACATTCTGTTGATAGAGTGCTATATGCAGGAGTAATATCGAGTCAATAAGAAGGCAATCACAAGTCCATAAAATAATAATCATAATAAAACAGCATTTATATAGCGCAATATGAATCAAAGATTCCTCAAAGCGCTTAACAATAGAACAAGAAACAATAACACAAATAATCCCAATTTAGTCCCTACACAATTTGTGCATGTTTCATGTTACAGGGAATGTGAACAAAGGAATGTTTCATTTTAACATGGTTCATTTGTCATAGTTCATTTTAATATCTTGTGATTTGACTTATTGCTAGTGATTGACTTACGCTGACTTGATTACAAGTCAAGCAGACACTCAACAGAGGAAGAGTTTTTTATATAATTCACTAAGACAGCTAAGGGACCTGTGAAACTTTACTTGGTCTATAATATATTGCGACAACTTTTGTAGGTTTTTTTTTCCAAGACACTTTCGGCTTTCACATTGTTTAAGTGAGTGCTTCTGCTACTATTACTGAGATGTTTGGCCAATCCAGTAATCTGATATCTCAGTGAAGGCCTGATCTGATGTGCTGATCCAATTACGGGGTAAACACTAGTTCTACGGACATTAAATTGGACAATTCGATATGGATATTCTTTATTTTTATTGTTGAATTGTCAAAGTTTGCCTATTTAGTAAAATAATGACCCATTTTTTTTCGTTTTTGTTTATTGGTTTTGTTTTTAATTCAGTGTGTCATATAAAATTAATTTTTAATCTTGTATTGATTTGTATCTTGTAATTTAGAAAGAACATAATTTAAATTAAGATTACTTTAGGCTACAGTTTTATTAAGAAAAAACTGCAGTTGCTATTTAATTTTCACACGTTTATTACATTACTCTTCAATACACAGGTCTTAAATCAATTGCCCCCAAAAAGTGAAAGTATTGTCAAATGTCCAATGATCAAAAGCCAAGAGGAATGCTACAACAACATCAAAGCTATGCTGTCACAAGATCTACGTAAACTTGGTGGTGGAGCTAAGATGAATATGACTAAGTTATCCTGTGCTATGATGCAACTACGTAAGGCAGCTAATCATGAAATGTTGATGCGACATCATTATGACGACTCCAAACTACGACAAATGGCCAAACTCATGCTGAAGGTGAGCAGATATACTCTGTCTTGGGCAAGAATGTACTGAACATTCTGCACGATACCTACCTCGTACACATCCGTGATCAAACCTGAATTTGATCAAATCACAGTACATGTGACTTGTAAGGGAAGAGGTATTGTATACACCCCACAGTGTGTTGCTCACATCATGCGCTTAATGCCATTTGATGTGAAATTGTGTTGAATATAAAGTAACACCCACTCATCATTTTGATACATGATCTTTAACCAATTCTGAACGCTTTTCAATATTTGTGAAGTAGAGTCAAATCACTTTTAGTGTTATTTGTATAGGTTATTTTAGTCCCTTTTGGTGTTGTGGAAAATGAATGTTGCTTGCGATAAACGGACCATGGCATGACCGAGTAGGGTTTGTTATACCCAAGGTCAAGTTGAAAATGGCAGGAACTCATACTGGGTGTTGGCTGCATCTCTTCTATTTCATAATCTGATGTCAGATTTATGTGTTACTTTGCGAACAGTGAGTAGTAGACAGATACATGTATTCAGTAAATTATCGTTGCATTTTCTCTAGGCAAGAGTCAAAATTGACCTTGGGTAGTATAAGTAAGTAGGATATCTTTCAATTCCTAGAGAAACTAGACATTGACCTAGCTTCGAGTCATTAGTGCATTATGATAATGGCATTTCTGTTGGTCCTTGATTTCTGTGTCACCAGGAACCATCCCATCATGATGCTGATCCTGATCTGATCTTTGAGGACATGTCAGTCATGAGTGACTATGAGCTTCACAGACTATGCCATGAGTATTACATCATGACCCCATACAAACTCTCATCAGATCTTGTATTCAACTCTGGAAAGTTCCAGATTTTGGATAAGATGTTACCTGAGATGAAACAAAAGGTGGGATTTAGTCCTGGCCCAAGACGCTAGTGATCGATAGTGGACGGTGCATAGTGTGCCCTCTAATGGCACAACAATTAGACCAGCGTGCCTACTCGCACTAACGGCTTGGCCATTTCGTAGTAGCGGTTTAACTTTTCGTTATTTTCTCCCTAGGCTTTTCTAGGGAACCAATCAACGATTGACAAATGGTTCATAGTCAGCCTCGTGTGTTCGTGCGACGGTTGTAAACAAGGGCGCTATTGCGGTGATCAAACATCATCACTAATTATGAAATGCAGTGATACCCTCGCTCGAGCGTGCGAGTACTGCGGTGTCTAATGAGAACTGCAGTTATCTGCCGGTTTTTGGGGTGTTTTTTTTTTTTAATTTATTGCTACAAAATGCCCAAGATGTTAGTGAGAGAAATAAAAAAACAATTATGCAAGGGCGCGATACAACAAGGCAACTATCGCTATTGATCACTGACGTCTTGGGCCAAGACTAGGTGGGATTCTGCTTGCGTTATTATCCTCAGTTAGGAAAACCCCTCATTTGCTGACCTTACTTCTGTATATCAAAATATTTGTTTGGGCATCATCAAAAATGAAGTAGACAATTGTATTGTGTACATTACTCAATATGAGGCAAAACTGTCATCAGAAAACACAAAACTGATTTTGTTTTAGTACAAAATAGGTATACATTGGACCACCATGGGATATTGTTTGTATTTGAAGTTTGAAACCATTGCTTGCCTTTTTTGTTTGAAGTGTTTTTGCAGACCTGCCAACTAGTACGATTCTGCTGTATTTCATACGGGAATTTGTTGAAAATACGACTGTACGTTTTTCCCTCATAAAATACGGGTTTTGACCAATTTGACACGCCTGCAAAAATCCTAGTTCAAAGCGGCTGTGAGTGTAGATTTCTGCCGGATAAAATTGGCTGAAACAACATAAATTGCAAGCAGCCAAGCAAACGATGTACTGCATGCATGAACTGAATCTGGTTTCGCGATTCCCACTGTGCGATGTACATTATGTACACAGTACCACAAACTAGAACCAGTCTATTCCCGGAGTGTGCCGATACTTCAAGCAGCGGCACCCCGCCGCAGAAATAAATGTCTGTATTCGTACACACGCATACCAGTAGGAGTACGTACGGCAGATCTTACATGCAGTCAACAGACTTTCTTTTTCTCAGTACACGCACGATACACAGAATACACTTTGACGTTCGTGTACCATAGTCACAACGTGCGTGCACGTGGTGTTCCGTTATGTCAAACATTTTTGAATAGTAAAGTTTGTTCTGAAACAAATTCAAAAATCAGAAAAATCAACAATTAAAGTGGGCGGCCCAAACCGAACCAGGTAAATCAGCCAGCAAATGCAAGAAATTGATTTCGTTTTCGGGGAAGCCAAGTTTAAAATAAAACTCTGTTCGATCGCTGTGTATTTTTTTAAAAACATTTAGTGTGTGCACGTGAATTATGATTCAAGAATCAAACTGGCACTTGGCGGCGACGTGATAAAACACGAATAAGTTTAGATTATACTTGGAAGTCATATGAATGTTTCACCTGCGTTATAGGTTTATTTATTGCAAACATGAGGAAGTCTAGTCTTTAGTTTATGTTTAGGTAGACTTGCATTGAATAGTTTTTAAAGCAGTTTTTTATGAATAAGGTATATGATCAATATCCTTATTCATGCAAATTGTTTGATTGGGTTTACCACCCGCAGGGAGACCTCTGGTTGTTTTTTTTTGTAGGTTTTTTTTTGTAGCTTTAACGAAGATTATTAAATTGCAGCCACATTTATTTGTTCGTATAGCCCGTCTATGCATATTTTTGAAAAATACAGTTTTTTAAAGAAAAATACAACTTTTGGAGATTCAGAATACAGTTTTTCGATCCCAAAGGTTGGCAGGTCTGTTTTTGCCATAGACAACCTTCAAAGAATGACAGGGTTGTTTTGCATATGTGAACCATATTTAAAAGTTGTTGCAAATATATCCGAATATCATCAAACTAACAATCGATAACTTGTATACAAATTGAACATTAATTCTGGAGTATTTTACTCACTCATCAACTTTAATGTGAAAACATACAAAACTGAATCTGGTCACTAATGTTATCATGTTTGTATTTGTCAATATATACCACTATTTAACATTACGAATGCATAATATCAATCAGTGTACAGCGTGTCCCAGCAAAAGCGGGCCCAGACAAATCCAGCGGCCATATCTAAACAAATATTCATGTGAGACTAACTTTTGTTTTGTGTTTTATCATGCTGTTGATGATGTTTAGTGCCTGTGGAAAAATAAACTGAACTGATTGAAAACTTTTAAAGCCATGACTATAAGAGCTCCATAAAATCGAAATGTACACTGTTTGTGACATTAGCTTGTGCTGGTAAGTTAGTAGAGAGATGAAGACCACGAACCTGTTCACACACGAACACATTTCACATGCAAACAAGAAGAGACTGTCTTTATTTCATAACACATTTATTTGTAATGTTCATAAATAAAATCTGATTCTGATAAAATTAAATATTATGATGTTTATCAGACCGTAGAGTGCTCTGATTCAAAACTGGAACATAGACAACAGCCAGCAATTATTCCTGTCGCCCTAACATTTTTGTAAATGAAATGTTTTGTTGATTGTTGACTTGAAAATGTGTATATTCTGATTTTTCACAGCCCTTACGTTTCTAGTCATAGCTTTATAAGTGGTGAATCAACTCAGTTTATTTCTTCACAGACAATAAACAATATCAACAGCATGGAAAAACAAAAACCAAATTTGGTCTTGACGTGAATAGGGGACAGTGAATAGTTTTATTAGATGCTGCCGCTGATTTGTCCAGGCCCGCTGTTTCTGGGACACGCTGTAGTCGGTATATAGTGCCTTTCATGAACCTGTGTAGAGTGTATGTGTGTGTTTCTTTGGGTTTTTTTTTTCAGGGAGACCGAGTGCTGATGTTTAGTCAGTTTGTGATGGTCCTTGACATCATTGAGTCTTACATGAAGCATCATCATTACAAATACCTCCGGCTTGATGGTCAGACACCAGTATGTGACAGGTACTCAGATATTACATGGCTATTGCCTCTGGCAAACACAACAGGATTACAATAGTACATGTATGCATGTGTTGTGCCCTTTGCAGACTCAAGTTGCACAGTATACTCAGTGCTTTGTGAGAGCAGAATACTAGCCAACATAATATGTGGGTTGGGACAATACAATTATGAAGTCCTTGGGCTCATTAGAAAAAAAGAAAGTAACTTTAGTTTCTGAAAATGGATGTAAACCAATTCAGTAATTGGGTTTTGCTACATGCTTAAAAAAAATGTCTTTGCAGATGAAATACTGTTTGAAAATGAAATATACCATCTTACTGAAAACAGATCTGTGTGGAAAGGTACCAAGTAAAATATAGGGAAAATGCCGCTGTCTGTCAGAGTCTACATGTGCAATGGGTGGATAAAAAACACTGGATAGTGAAAATAGTATTTGCCCCCCCCCCCCCCCGACACCCGTTCTCTCCCCCCCCCCCCCCCCCCCCCCCATCCAAAAAAATGCCTCTGGCCTGAGGTTCAGATGAGACTCATTATGCCGTGCATGGATCATAAAGAATTGAGGAATAAGATATGCTACTGCACTTTTGCATTGCATAAAAACATTTGATACAATTGTGACTTGTATATGAATACATGATTGTATGAGACGTTCATTTCTTTACAAGAAATACTGACTTTTTAATTATATGTCAATATTTTACTATGAACGGCATATTTTGTTGCAACAGGCTTGCTTTGATTGACAAGTACAACAGCAATGAGGATATATTTGTCTTTCTTCTGACGACACGAGCTGGTGGTCTGGGTATCAACTTGACCTCTGCCAATCATGTCATCCTTCATGATATTGATTACAATCCCTACAATGACAAACAGGCTGAGGATAGATGTCATCGTGTGGGACAGAAGAGGTATGTACAAGTGTTTCTTCTGCCTCACACAGCTTATGTTGGCTTCAGTAGTGGATTAACGCATCGGCTCACCAGGGCAAAATTTCATGGCACTGTTAAGCACATGTTTTTCTGCTAACAGAGCCTCCGTCTATTTCTCGGAGACCGTAAGCAGTAAGCTTAGCAAAAGGCACGCTTACCTCAGAGGAAAATGTTGCTTAAATTAGTGACATAACAATAGGAATCTCCATGCACGCGCAACCGTTAGGATATCCTCGCCTTGAAATAGTGCTTAAGGTTAGCACAACTTTTCTGCTATTGTTAGCACTTTTCTGCGAACTGTTAAGCAGCGCCATGAAATGGGGTTCTGGTCTGGACTCGGAGCCACGCACATTTAATAGAGTCTACCTCGTAATGCTTACCTAGTGTGCTGCACTGTCATTGAAACATCTTGTTTGAGGAGTAGATTTATCAGGAAAGTAAAACTCTTGGGAGTTCAGAATGTCGCTTATGAATTGACTAACCCATTGCAAAGGTGCACATGAAATGTTGAGAGGACACTGTTTCCAAATTTGTATTGTAATCCCTATGTAATAAAACAATTTCCTGACTTGAACTTTTGACATGCAAAAGGGAAAATAATGGTTGAGAATAATTCAATATTTGTTCAGATGCACCAATTTTAGTATGCGAGAAATTTCCCTATGTTATGCCCAATTTCCAAACACCAACTTTATCAGTAAACTTTTTTAATTCAGGCTAAATTTGAAAAAACTGAAAATTTCCAACCAATTTGCATTGTAAGTTTATATTGTAATAGTACCAAAAATAAAAACATCCAGAGAATTGCCTTCAGTTTTGTTGGTACATGTACATGTAACCTCTAAAAGTTTCCACGTGCACTTTAAATTGTTGAGTCCCAAAGGAAACTTGTTGAATGTTGATGTGCACATGCACAGTACAGCTGGAATATTGAACTGGCTCAGTGAATATAAAGCATGTCAAGGTATAGAGCTACTACATGTGGACAGATGCCAGACCTTCAAAAGCCACTTAAATGATCAATATTTTGAGGGCAAAACAGGCAGAAAAATTGTTGTTTTGCTTTATTTCATAGAAATCAATATGTTGCTGTGAAATATTGCTAGAGGATAAGGTATTGATTAGACATGCACATTGTTTGCTGTTTATAGCCACATATGTACATTGTATTCTGACATCTGTGCTGGGGAGATATTGTAGATATATTTTAATACTTAACAGAGGTACATGTACATACATCACTGTAGTGTTGATGCCCCCTAACATGGTGCAGCCCCTAATGTGACGCACTTTGATTTGCACCTCTAGTGCCTTGCTAGAGCAAAGTTTTACCTCAAATTTCATCAAGCTCTAAATATCCTTGTTATTTAACTTTCAGTTTACCTACCTGTTACGAAGTTAAAAGAGAAATCTCACTTTGGCATTTTGAAGTGCGCAGTAACAAAGAGGTTTCGCAACACTGAATGAAGAAAGTTGGGGGAAACTTGGAAGTGCGCCACATTAGGAGACTCAACTATACTAGAAAAATGTTTCATGCTTTGCCAATGAAGTTTTATTGAGATGGTGCCAAAGTTTTGAAAGGCATGTGATGACATCACTACCTCACATCGTGGCCCCTAACAGCACATCAATGGATTGTTTCCATTTGCCATAATATTATCAAGTTGTCCTTAAAAGGGACAACTCCTTGATACATATTTTATACAGTGAGGAATGACCGCATGAGGGATGAATGCATGAGGAATCACCGTGTGAGAAATATTGTGATTTTTTTAAACAATTACATGGTGGGAAATAATATTGTGAAAATTCAAGTGAAGAATTGGGTTATAAAGGAGAGATAGATACTTGGGAACAGCTCTTAGTGTTCTACTATGTGAGTCTTATTCTGATGACTTGGGAGGAGATTAGTACTTCGAGTTGTTAAATTTTCTCAGAATTGACTGAGAATGTGCATCCCCAATAGTATCATTGGGATCTATACCTAACTTTGAGGTCATAGGTTGGCCTATTCAGGTTGGCCAACCATATTAACTAATGTCAACTAGTGTGCAGCAGATATTAGCTGTGTTTGAACAGTGGGCTTAAAATAGTATGGAATGTCAGCAGCAAGCATTCAACTCATTAGTAAGATAATGTAGTTATCCTTCATTTCATAGAGATCGTAAGCAGTAAGTTTGGCAAAAAGCATGCTAACATTGCAGCACAATTTGTTTGAAAAACATGATGCGATGTTTGCAGCTTCCATGTATGTACATGTAGTATAGGCTATAATAATACATTTGAAGTCGGCACACTTTTCCTACTATAATTTGGAAAGGTTTATTTCTTCTTTCAGCAAAATCTCAACCCTCCAGTAATCGGACCCACATGTAAGATCTGTATGTGGTCTGGACCAAACCAATTTCAATCAGTTTACTTAACCCTAACCCTGCTAGATGCAACAGAAAGCAACAAAGGTAAAAGTTGTTGCATACTGTTGCATTTAGCAGCCAACTCATGTCCCTGTGCTCTGTTGCATTCTGTTGCATTCTGTTGCATTTAGCAGGGTAACTGCCCATAGTGCCAAGGCGATACAGGAGTATCCACTGTTGCATTTGGTTCCATTTAGCAGGGTTCTTATTTCAGCCAAGTTGTATTTTGTTGCATTTGCCAGGGTACCTAAAGAAAGCCTGTTGGGGGTTATGGCTAATTCAGGTATGCTCCTTGAAATTGACTCAAGGTTCTTGGATTGTTTTGAACTTGTAAACCAGAAAGGCGTCATTTGTGCTTTAATCTGCAGGGATGTAACAGTGACTAAACTAATCAGCAGTAACTCTATTGAGGAAGGCATGCTAAGATGTGCGCAGTACAAACTACAACTAGAGCAACAAATGACAACTAATGATGGCTCAGGTAAGAAAGATATCAAACTATCCAAATAACGACATTTCTTTAAACCATATTTGCATTGGACTTTTTTGGTAAAACTCACCGCGCGAGATGATGGTTATTTTCAAATTTTGAGTCCAGTCCAAACTTTGAATGGGTGAAATCTGTACCAATTCTACACTTGGACTTTTGACTCTGCAATTTTTAACTGGGACTGTTGTTAAAGTAACCAAGCTGGGCATAAACACTCATTTGTATCTTGCGATCAGCAGTCCTACATCCTTATTCGTTATGACATCTGACATTATGGAACATTTGTTAATGCCGGTGAATAATGCCTTGTCACATGGTATATTGAACTGTCTAATGGTGTCCAGGTAGAGTCTGGCCTAGTGGTTAGGGTTTGTGACTCGTGGTCAGGGGTTCGAATCCAGCTGCTAGCCATATGTGTGTCCTTGGGCAAGCCACTTCACCCCTACTTACCCATTTATATTCCTGGGTACCGGCATTAGCTTGGGAGTAACCTGCGATGGATTGGCATCCCATCCAGGGGTGATAGAAATATTCTCATTTGTTTCATGCCTAGGAAACTTTTACTGACCAAATTTTTGCCGGTAAAAGTAACCAAGAGGGAATTTTCCTGGGCCAGAGTTTGCACGGGACTTAAAATGGCAAAAGTAACCATTATCTCTCTGAGTTTTCCCCAAAAACTCCAATACTGACACAGGTCAACCCTGCTCAATTAATTAACCAAGTCAAATTTCCATTAATAAAGAAACCAATGCAAACAGTGCATGTCAGTAAAGCGGCACAGGAAAGCTGTGCAGTGCTTAAAGGTCACGCTGTGAAGGCACGGTATGCACAGGCAATGTATGATCTTTTTGGATGTCCTGTCTATTGTTGCTTCACATGCTTTATTTGTTTAATCTATATATATAAGAGGAAGTTTTACCCGGCCTCTGAGAAATGTTTGCTCCCAAAAGGATCTGAGACCGCTGGCTCCCGCGACGCCAAAATCGCTCCGTGGAAAAATGTGGAGGGTGTCTTCCGCCGGTTCGGAGACTTCAGGTCGTCCTAATTTTCACATCCGGACGGGCGATCCGTTTTGTTGATTTTTCGTAACTGCGGTTTCTTAACAGGAATGGCCATCGTGTGCGCTTTCACGTTGATTGCCTGGCCGCCCTCTGTGTTGGCTTCTCTGCAAGTGAAGGCTGTGCGTGGTCTAGCGCTGGCGATACTGATTTTTTTCGTAGTCGATATTTTTTTCCCGCAATATCGGCGATATGGCAATAAATCATCAACAAATTAGAAACTGATCAAAATGTCGCGTTAATTTACATGTAAATAGCGATCTTCATAGTACTCCAAATATAAACGCACAGACGCAAAGGTATAAGTTTGGCTGACTAGGAACTTGCTGAAACGGATCGTTTGTTTTTTTCCCCGCATAATCCTTATAAAAAATAGTGCAGATAATTCTGATTACGTTTTTAATTTCCCGGAACATAACCGCGGCAGCCTCGTTAGTCACCAAACCCGACATGTGCAAAATGTCCGTCATTCAGTGATCCACTGTGCTGCATGGCCAGCTCCCGACGTCCATACACGTGCGCGGACGTTTTGGTCCCGAAGTTGCTGAGAGTATAGCGTAAAAAAACGCACTAGAGTCTCCCTTCAATCAAAGATGGCGGCGCCCTGTTTCCGAGATAGCTTTTTATTTTGGCCCCTCAAGAAGTTTTCTCAGCTTCAAATCCAGCTTGGTTCATTTCGAATAGTAAAGTTTATTGGTCGCGTAATTCGTTCCCATGACCTGCGGCTGAATTCTCCCTTACCGTACGTCCCTCCATCGACACTTACCTTTGCACTACCTGGAACGGGCTTACTACCTGTAGCGATCCCGGCCCGGCCATGTCACGATATCCCCGCCTGGCCAAGCTTGTGAATGGGGAGCTTACGCACGTCTGAACGCGCATCACGTGTTTGCGATTTGGTCCAACTCAGGCCTAGTAAAAAAAAAACGTATTCATCGTCCAGGTTTTTGGAAACAAGGGAAGAGGCGGTGCTTTTTATTTTTTATTTTCAAGATGGCTGCCATTCTTTTTTTTAATTTCCGAAAACTGTTGGTTTTTACACTGTTCAAAGACACAAAAATGAAACAGACATATACTGGACAAGAGAATTAAACATATTTACAGTGATTTTAATAGTTTTCTAGCATGGTTTTAAATAATAAAAAACACTGCTGCGCCGGCATTCTTGTCCACATTGCCGGCACGCCGCTTTTCTTGTCCACATTGCCGGCACGCCGCTTTGCAAATTTTTTCACATTTTGTTATTGACGTAACATCTGATTTGTCTGTGTGAATCAGCTTTCCTATCATCGTATAGGAATTTTAACAGCGATTGGAAACGACATGCAGCTCCCGGAAATTTGAGGTTTTTGTAAAATCCATTAAAAAAATTGTGAAAACTTTCAGAATCATCTTTCAAAAAGTTTGTCTCTGATTATTGTCATTCCCATCAAAAACCAATACAGTCATTGATCCTGCACTTACGTTGTTCTAAAACAAAGGCATGTGGCAGTGAATCATCGGCTAGTTTCGAAAAACAAATTCCAGGATTAAATATCGGAAATATTAACTGCAAAGCGCCACATGATTAAATATTTCATGCCTAAAACCAGTTGTTTATAAAACACCAGACGAGCGTTAGTGAGGGAAAAATCCTGTGCGCACATGTACTGAGGAGCCGTCACATGGTTTGAGCTATTTCTCATCTCTGGGAATTCCCTTAAACACGTGCTGACTGTGCTGAAAGGCCGTACTGTCATTTGATTGGCAAGTCTTTCCATGGCCCGATCATGTGATGTTTTATGTGCGGGATATAGTGGAATCTAGTGCTTTATCCTTGTTGTCGGGAATGCTGCGCTACCGAAAAGCAGTCATTGATATAAAATAACAGCATTGCTGTTGAAACCCCTCAGCCAGAGTCAAGTTATCATCCGGAAACCATTAACCTTTAACTCAACATGGTGACTTTGACCTCTGACCCCAGAACAAATCCCAACATGCCTGTACCAATGGGCAACCCCCTACCGGTGTTAGACACCAAAGTTTCATTTCTAACTCAAGATATCATCCAGAAACCATTGACCTTTACCTCACAACGATGACCTTGACCTTTGACCTTGTGACCCCAAAACCAATCCCAACTTGCCTACTCCCAAGGGCAACCCCCTTCCAAAGTTAGACACCAAAATCTCATTTCTAACTGAAGTTATCATCCGGAAACCATTTATCTTGAACTCACCACGGTGACCTTGACCTTTTGACCCCAAAACCAATCCCAACTTGCCTGTACCCAAGGGCAACCCCCTACCAAAGTTAGACACCAAAATCTCATTTCTAACTCAAGTTATCCGGAACCATTTACAGTAAAATCCGGCTAAACCGGCACTCTCGGGACCCGAGAATTTGTAACGACTTACGCGAATGCCGATATCTGCTGTAAGTCGTCATTTTGCCGACTTACATGAATGGTCTTTTGCACACATGATTTATTGCACTAATTGGATTCGATTTACCATGGATTATCTCCTTAATGCTTGAGTTGAATCCAGCAAATTAATCCTCGAATTGTATCATCACGTTTGGGGTATTGATAGTGGAGACCACGATCCATACATGTATATGTACGTGCACAGTAAAGAAAACAAATGCGTGCATGGTCCGCACGCATTGACTGCAGTACTAGTCATTCAATAAGACGACCCCCAAAATGAACAGAGCGCATGCGTATAGCCTAGAGGGGGTACTGGTATTGATATGCTCACGATGCATATGCGATGTATGCAGTAGGACACCCTTTTTTGACACCGATGTATGCAGCGATCACAGGCCGTGCGAAACCACTTTTCACTCGACACTTTAGTCAGACGGCCGACTTGAGCGAGTTGTATGATGTTGGTTTAGCTGGAGTTTACTGTACCTTTAACGCACCACCTTGACCTTTGACCTTTTGACCCCAAAACCAATCCCAATTTGCCTACTCCCAAGGTGCAACCCCCTACCAAAGTTAAAAACCAAAATCTCATTTCTAACTCAAGTTATCATCTGGAAACCATTTACCTTGAACTCACCACAGTGACCTTGACCTTTTGACCCCAAAACCAATCCCAACTTGCCTACTCCCAAGGGCAACCCCCTACCAAAGTAAGACACCAAAATCTCATTTCTAACTCAAGTTATCATCCGGAAACCATTTACCTTTAACTCACCACGGTGACCTTGACCTTTGACCTTTTGACCTCAAAACCAATCCCAACTTGCCTACTCCCAAGGGCAACCCCCTACCAAAGTAAGACACCAAAATCTCATTTCTAACTCAAGTTATCATCCGGAAACCATTTACCTTTAACTCGCCACGGTGACCTTGACCTTTTTGACCTCAAAACCAAACCCAACTTGCCTACTCCTAAGGGCTACCCCCCTACCGAAGTTATCATCCGGAAACTAAGCTGCCCGGACGGACGGACGCTCCAGCCAGATGGAATTGTGGGCTGATAGCATTGTGTTCCCATTATCCCTTTTTCTAAAGATTCTCTTCTGGGGTGATGTTTTTCTATTGTGAAAATAGTGGGGTGATGTGTCCTGAAAGGAACGTCACCCCACAAGTGGGGTATGGTCAGAACATACTGACTAGGAACGGACGCCCTAGGCGATGACAATACCCCTCGAGCCTCTCGGCTGAGGGGTAAAAAGGATAAGGTTGTTGAACATGGGAAACACAAATTTACTGATTAAAATAATGACACTCACACAAGATACAGACAACTCAGTTTATTGAACATTCAAAAGAGACGATAGAGAATCGGCATTGGATGGTACAAATTGTATATACCAGACGGTGAATTTTACGATGGCGTGTGGTTTGATTTGATTTGATTTATTTGTTTACCTCTTCTACCTTTTTTTAATGGCATAACGCAACTCGCACCTACCACCGGTGCATATGCACTGCAGGTCTTTATTGTGAATGAGTATTTTCTGGCCATTTCAACCAGATCCACGATTTGGTGCATGCGACAACAACATTAATATTCATTATTTACGTCCTGTACTAGACGCAAAACAGCAGCAAACATTGTGTGCTTACGTTTACGAACACATTATTATATCACGTACATCGATCAAGAGACGTGATCACACACAAACGGCTGTGCTGGAGTCTGCCGACGAGCATACTGTATGGTCTGGAATTTCCCTGGTGTTACGCGGTCGTTATCAAATGATGTACATTGTGCAAACGGGACCAGCGAGCTTTTATTCCGTTCTTTGATATGCGTGTACTATATTAGCTGCTCGGCATCGACATCCGCATATGGGTGTATGCTTTGGCGTTTTGGACTTTACTTTTCTTAAAACATGTGAAGAAAATAATAAAATTAGAAAAAAACATGAATTCGAACGTAATGAAGTTCAGACTTTATTTCCCTTTTTAAAAAAATCCTCTGAATCCTCAGGTTATAAAAGAAAACAAATGTGGGTACAAAACGGCGATTTGAACCCGTAACCTCGCGGTGCAAAATCAGACCTTACACCGACTGAGCTATCGCTCTACTCGACAAATTGCGAGGGAAAAATAATTATATACCTGCGTATGTACGTATCATAAAAGTATTGTAGAGGGCGCTAAACAACCACGTATGCGGATGATCGATATGCGATGTAGTTTGGGAAAAGACAATTCCCCGGCGGCGGGCTAGAGCTATATTGGCGTTTAACATTTCTAAAATTGCCAGGAGCCATCCTGAGATTTGAATTTGGTTTAGTTTTGACTTACAAACGTACATGTATTGCAGCAACATGAGGTAAAAGTTTGCACTTTCGACAGTAATCAGTAAAGTTGTGGGGAAAAAACGAAAGTATCGCCGATATTTTTTCAAAATATGCGGGTAGAGAAAAAAATTGGCGATTTAAAACTGATATCGCCGATATCGCGATATTCCAATTTTTATCAAAACGTATGCGATTCCGTTTTTTTTTTTTACAAAAATGGTATCGCGGTGATATTATCGTCGTATCGTCCAGCACTGGCGTGGTCAGTGGTTTGAACGTAGGGTTCCATTTCTGTGTTCTACTTGCCCGTTGTTGCATAGTGTTCACTAAACAGTAGCATGGTGTGACCTTGGGAAAAATATTTTTTGTCCATGGTGCGTGGCCACCCAGTGTCCATATTATTTGCTATGCTTTGCTTGCGCCCTTGTGCCGAGAGCAATGAATTCTTAGAATGGCAACACATAAATATACCTTGCGTGGTCTGACCAATCGGAAGCCTACCCTGCACACTTCCGGGCTATCCATGCAACGGTCAATGGCAACGCGTACTGCTCGAAACCCTGGAACGAGGTTGGGTTTTTAGGTTGCTCGCTTTGTTATGTACATGTATATAATGTTGCATACACAATGCGTGTGAGTGGTGTTGCTTCCATCATGGCTGATGTTGTGAGTTCGCTGCCTGCCACGTACAATTCAGTGTCGCGTTATTTTTGGGGCCTGTTTTGGGATCAACGAAGGACCGATGCATTGCTCTTTGAACTACGTTGGGTTGGAATAACGAAGAGTGCATAAATATTAAACTCCACCCGTGACGTCACCCTATTGTCCTAACGCTCTATTATTTTGCACGAATGGAGCGTTAGGCCACACAAAAAAAGTTTCCGGTTTCTGGTATGCGCGCGCGTCGCCGTAGCCATGCGCGTCGGCAAAATGAAAAAGGTTTTTTTTCAGTACAAGATGATGTCTCAAAACCGCCAGACTCACTGGTTTGACTGGAATCCTGCTGCTGCACAATTTTAACGTGTTTTTAGATGGGGTTATGATCGAGAATAAGCTTTATGTGGCCTCTCTGGACTCCCATATATTTGCACTAAGTTTAGTCGGGCACCATTTGCAGTCATCCGCCGACATTTGAAGCCAAAAAAAAAAAAAAACAGGTGAAAAAAAAAAAAAAGCCACATCGCCGCACCACTTTTGGGGCAAGCTCCATACCAGAAACTGGAGCCTTTTTTTTTTGGGCCTTAGAGGCGATACCTCTCCATTCTGTTGAAAGGTAATAACGCCTCCATCACTCCATTCCTACAAAATAATGGAGCAGGGATGAAAGAAACACCAAAATTGACACAATTACTTTTGCAAATTTGCTACTTTACTACACCGTTTCTCAATTGACATTTTATGCATTTTCTTATACATTTCGTACAATGCTTAGGTAAGTCAAGAACCATTTGTTTTCTCATACAGAATGCCACACCGTTTCTCAAATGACATTTTATGCATTTTCTTATACATTTTCGTACGTTTACGTGAAAGTCAAGAACCATTTGTTTTATACAGCATGCTACACCGTTTCTCAAATGGAATTGTTTAGTTGAAAGTTGTTTAGGTGAAAATCAAGTACCATTTTTTTCTTATGTAGAATGTTTGCACGTGGTTACATGTAACAATATAAATGTTTTTAACAATATACATGTTTTCACACAGTTAAAGCAAACATTTTGACAAAGTTCGCAGTACAAATAATATCTCAATCTTGTTCCGGTGTTTCAATGCCAGCATGCAGTCACAGAAATTTTTGATCGGCAAGAACTCAACATCCTGAAGAAAGTTGTTGCAATTTTGAGTGGTTTTAGCTCGTCCTTCCTTGTTCTAATGACGGGTAGTTATAGTCTCGAGTTGCATTGGCTATGCCGTTGACGAAGTAGTCCGACTGGAGATTGCCCGCTAGTTTTGACCCTCTTCATGATACTGTCCACAAGTCTGTAAACAGAATATGAAAATGTATCTCAGAAAATTATTTTTTGGGTCAACAAATCAGACGGAAGCATACGTTCATATTTCTGTAAATCTACTAAAATTTAAGAAAAACAACGTAAAAGGCACGGGCCAGCTTTGACAATTGCAAAGTGACAACACATATGGCTTCGAGTTAGAACAGTTTTCGTTCAAAAACGATGTCTGAGTAAACTATATCGGACAACAAATTAAAGAATAAAGCTTATCTTACATTAAATTTTATCGAAAATATCGTACTTTTTTAAGTTTTAGTGCTCGATATTGCGGTTTGCGAAAAATAATGCAATTTTATTTTGTGATTTACTAGCCTGTCATTTCTACTGGACAAAAAGGGTACTTCTTACCTTTCTTGTACTCATACATGCAATCTTCATATTCCTTTGGTGTGTTGAAATGGTAGTATATATCCAGGGACAGTGAAGCGGCCAGTAAACTATCACCCGATGTATCCATGGAGCTAGTTTTGTATCAGAGACAGTTCCCTGGCACGCTATAATTCCATTTCGCAAGGTGTAAATTTCAGTGTATCAGGGCATCATCATAGTGATATTCATCAAAGTCTTGAGAACGAACGCCATGTCATCAGCACGCTAGCCCAAACAACGAATGCATGATGCCTAGGCGGGGTTTAACATTTATACCAAGCACACCCAGAATTTGGCATTGTTTTGGTTACATAAGAACACATGTTAGCAAACTATGCGCAGTGCAGTTGAATAGTTGCTCAGTACAATTCCATTTTAATATACAAAGGAATGCATTTTAAAGTTACGCAACAGGAAAAAAGCTTGTGTCTTTGTATGAAACAAAGTCGCTCCATTCGTGCAAAATAATGGAGCGCTAGAAACAATAGGGGGACGTCACGGGTGGAGTTTAAGTCGGATAATGCCGCTCGGTAATGCGCCATTCGTGGGTAAGAATGGCCCGAGGGCGAAGTCTTACCCACGAATGTCGTGTATCTCGGGCATTATCCTTTACATAACATCCATTGGCGGTTGTTGGAAGAAAACGACGACGATCACTACGGACATCAGTAACGCTGTTTGGCCTTGCTTTATTATGGTTGAACCAACTTGAATAAAAGTTGAATCGACTTTTTTCTCGCAGGTCTCGCAAAGTTGTAAGAAGTTCAAGTTTGTTGAAGAGTCCAATACTGTAACTTAATTATGACCAATTCCTCCATGATTCAGACTTTGTAATTTTATGGTAACACTGAACATTTTCAGAGCAAATGACAAGTTAGCAAGAGCAAGGTACCTTCACATGTTATTGCATTAATTGTCAAAACTGTACAATCAGCCTTCGCCTGTGTACTACGGTAAATCTTTCAACTACGTTTTCCCACAAATGCGACTGCCTCAAATGCCAATTTAACAGACCAACAGGAACATTTACAGAGAGCTATACATGCCATGGTCCATAAGTATTATTTTCATGTGGTTAAAGTTTATTTCTTGGGGGGGGGGGGCTATTTCATTTCTTGAGATTTCATGTTTAACACCAGTCACTTTTCCAAAACCAATCTCCCCAGATATTTACACTTCCCAACAAAGCTTGGAAGTGAATTTCTGAAGCTTTGAATTGAATTTGAATTACTGTTACATGATATTGATCATCTCTTTGCCTCATCAGGTAATTACTTTCTTATTTTCTATCTTTTGCATTTCTGTAACTGCATGTTTTCTCAACTAAATCCCCCATTTACATTAGCACCCCGCACATTTTCAACCCCAACACAAATACATCATGATCAGGTAATCAGCTTGTTTGAGATATATATATTTGCTTGTTTGTTTTAAGATGGAGATGCCAAGAATGCTACAGATATTGCAAGGCTGATGAAAGAAGCATTGGAGCTTTGATGTGATATTGCTTTGCCCATTTTTGCACAAGTTAGGTCTATAGATCCCTTGCACTGAAGCCATTGTTGAGGTGCACGATGGCTGCAACATTCAAAGGGTCTACAGCAGATCAATGCACGTCAGTTTCAGGTCAATCTGTTGGTTATTGTCAAGCCGATATTAATTTATATAACACCCAAGTAAATCCTTGTCATGTGATTGGAGGATTGTTGGTCACGCAGCATTCATTAATCAAACCATTGCACAGCCTACGTCATAACCATGCATTTTTGGTTCCGTTCACCGTACATTTTAGTTCCATCCCTTTTGATCTATTGCACGCACACGCTAGACCACGTAGTGCCGCGCAAAGACGTGAAGTGACACTATACGATCTTTGTGCTATATAGAACACATCATCGTTTTATACAGCAGTACAAAACTGGCCTTTGAAATGGATGCAGTTATGGACTGAACTTGCCTTGCTGATTTTTCTTTTTGCATTGTTTTAGAACTTACAATATTAACTTTTATATTGTTAATGGTTTCACTTTTAAACCTTTGTTAGCCTTGAACAAGCTGAACAAAAGGTAGTGGATATAATACAATTTGTAATTGTGTTAGTTCTTAAAGTTTTATCCTCCACTCGAATGACAAAGATCTACTTGGATGTTATATAAAACAAATAATGAATGTTTTCACCTTGTTGAATGGAACACTAATGAATGTTTTGCATAATGAATGTTTTGCATAATGAATGTTTTGCATTTGTGCAATGGTGAGAATATTTTCATTCATTGAAAAATGGAATGTTCCATTCAAATTCGGCTTCGCCTCATTGAATGGAACATTCAATCTTTCAACTCATGAAAATATTCTCACCATTGCATTATTTGTTTATTATTAGAGTGTCAACTCCTCATTCCCTCATTAATTATTAATGCATCATTTATCAAATTTCCAAGCAGATATATGCAAACAGTCGTATGTAGGGTACTGTATACAATATTTTGAGCTTTGTGTATATCATGCACAAACATGAATGCATCAAACATGCTTCACATGGTACAGCAAGTTGCTATTATGATAGCTGTACTGTATACATGTATATCTGCTAATTTAATTGAGCTGAAGAAAGTACTGCTTTTGCAGAGAGTATTTATTGTTATTTATCTTTTCAATCCTGTATTGACAGCAGTGTTATCACTTTATTTTTCTTCACCTCACAAAGTTCAAAATTGCCTCACTTATGTTGATGTACTGTTTTTAATGACAGAATATGATCTCGATAAGCCTGATCTACACTGTAAGCATAATAGCTGTATGTTTTACACATAATGTGGGTCATCTCACATTTTTGTGGCATGGCCTTACATACATTTTTATTACTTTACTGTTGTCTTAAAATTTATCTTACATGTATGTATATGAAAGTGTTTGGTGTATTTGATGGTAGAGGGCACTTTTCCATTTTGGGTTTTTTTTTGGGGGGGGGGGGGTGTGGTCCCTGTTGCGCCCCCACCCCCTCCCCATATCCACCTTTATTCAAGAAGACAAGAAGAAAGTGTTTTTGTTTTTAGTAAGTGTAATACTGTGAAATGATATCATTTGTAGTGTCATTGTGTGTGTTCAATTATTGGAATCCTTGCCTTAGCCTAGGCAGGAGTTATTGAATGACTGTAAGCCATACACACCACCAAGATTTTTGTTTATTTATTTTAATAAAACACTTCAAATTCTGATGTCACAAATCACCTTTGCTATGACTATGGAAAGTTTGAAAGAACAAAGCTTGGTCCTAGCCTTTCTGTATTTAAATAATTATTAATGGATTATTATCCGCATTAAATTAGTTTGATCATGTGTTATAAGTGTAATAAACTATAAAGGATTAAAACTGAACATGTTTGCCTTTTGGTCTATCCATTTCCACTGAATTTTGTTCTATTTATACCAATATTCTCAAATAGCAACATTTTCAAATGCGTGTAACGCTAAAGACAACTATATTAGCTTGGTTATTTGGACAGCAGAGTCAAACCTTGAGCATGATTATGACAATGATGTCAGAGAGCAGAGGAGAAGTGGCTTCATATGGTTGTGTCAATTTCACAGTGGATATATAATTGCATTGTAATTTGGTCTACCTACAATCGTTGTGCGAATGATTAGGAAAGGGTGGTGGTAGGAAAATGTTGACAATGGTTTTGAATGTCACGCACCAATTTAATGTCCAAGTCTCAACTGTCATGTAATAAGTACTAAGAAGTGGATCATTTAAACATGGATTGTAAGTTAACACATGTATGTATGAACGACTATTTACCACATAAAGGAGAGGAATGAGAGTATTAATTGAATCTTCCTGCAGGTTTGGTAGCTGTTTGAATTACTCATGTTAGGCAAACATAAGCCAACTATCCTCCATGTCGTAATGTCTCTCTATTCCTTCCCTGTGGTGCACTCCAGGACACATCAACTTATAACCAATGATGGTAAGAATTAAACTAGTTAACACCACCATAGCCAGGAGACCCACTCTGACAACAGGTGGTTGTCTTTTTAACACTTCACACAATACTTTGATCCAGCGAAAGGTTGTTTTGCGAAGGTATGCCATTTGGTTGCAGGTGCTCTGTAATAGAGGGGGGAAATAATTTGGATGTAAATACCCGTCTGCCAAGCAATTTCCAACATACACATTTTCCATTCGGAAAGAATGTTGCAACCTCACCACTTCCGCGATTGTGTACAAAGTCTATGGAGAGTCAAGAACATTTATTTCCTAACAAAACTGGAAATGTTTCTCAGTCCCAGATTCATGTCTTGTCATCTTTTTGCAATGAATGACCTTCATTGAGATGATATATGAAGAAAAAAATGGTGTCAGGTTGCAACATTCTTTCCTTGCATTCTACTACTGTTGTACTCACTGTTGTGGTCCCATTGTGCGTGCTTAGCATGGTGTAGCTAACCTGCTCGATCCACTCGGCATTACTCTGGTTACTCCTGGCTGTAACGATATGCTGAACATCTGAGTCGCGTGCTGACCACTCCTCATTTAACCACGTAGTTGATACATCCACCACATTCATAGGCTGGTCTGTCTCAAGTGTGTTTGTTGCTATAATGTCTGTGGTGATGATACCTTTGTCCTTTATTTCGTGTAATGTTTTCAGGATCTTTGAGATCTTCCCAGAACGCTCCAGATTGTAGTTTCCTTCCCCTGGTGTTGAAAGTGTTCGTATATCCTGTGCAATAACAGCAAATTGATGAATGAATATCCCTTCATGCTTCTGAATGTGAAAATGGGACCGGATTCTTTCATTTATCAATTGTCATGAAGGAAAAACAATTCAAATGCAGACCTAATCATTATTAGGATAAACTGGATAGAACGTGAACTTGTTTTGCAATTGAAACTTATTATAGATAAGGAAATAAAATACAACGTCACCGCATGAGTACAGTGTGGTTAACGTGCTAAATAAATATAAAGTTCCAGTTATAAAAACGCGACAGACTCTGAATAAGTATGTGGAGCAATCACCTTCGATGTACATTGTAGCTTGCATTTGATGCTTATGCGACAAAATCCCTAGTGGAAAATTACGGGTGGAAATTTGTGTCACACTAATTAATCTTGGAGCTTATTAGGCCTTTCAAAACAACTAGCCCCATACAGCTGTGTACAGGGTCTACGCAGGCCATCCAATAAGGACTTAAAGAGACAAATTCCCTGATAAACACTCAAAGAAATGGTAGTAGCTGTTATAATAACACTTCAGAGCCATAAAAGGCTCCAAAGATGGATCCAGCTTTAAGGCCAAAAAAAAAAAAATCTTCGGTCTCTGGTCAGACCAAACTTCCGGAATTGACGCGGCGATGCGGCTTTTTTGTTTTTCCTTTTTTTTTTCTCTCTTCAAGCTTGGATTGTACAGACAAGGTGGGGTACTATTTAGCTTTTTTGGTGTCCTCATGTACATTGGTGTCCTCCATAATTTGCCTTGGTGCTCTCGATCATTTGCCTTGGTGCAATTTCCCATTCCTTGGTGCTCTTTGGTAAAAAAAAAATGAGGAGGTGCGGCAATAGAGGGCGCTGTTGGAGCTACCGCGGAACATTTTGGGGAAAAAAAAGATTGACGCGCATGATTAAAATCGATGCGCGCGCTGACCAGAGACCGACTTATTTTTTTTTTTGGCCCAACTAACACAACTTTCCAGAAAAAAAAACCGTGACGGAAAAGCATGAACTTTCATCTCCGATATGTCTGGCAAAAAAAACACAGATTGACTATATTCTTGTCCATAGAAAGTTGAAGAACTCATACTTTGTGCGATACGATTTGACGTCGCGAAGCATTTGCTGAGAATTTCGCCGGAGTTGAAATGTGTTAAACTTCTGCGTGTTCGCAGTGCGAGAACTTGCGCTCAGAACGTCACAAATTCATATTTGCTTTCGCACCGAGCAGGCCACCACGTTCATTGATCTTCAAAGAGACACTGGTCTGAAGACGTCATCAGAGATGCGCACAGTGATGCCGGCAAGAGACATCTGGAGAGGCCTCGTTTCCTTGTTCCAATCGAAGATCGACCAAGTTAAGGTATGTAGGAATGTAGCAGACAAACAAAAAGCCCGGTTCATACTCGACGCGAACGCGAATTTGTGACGACATGGCGAGTATTCGCGCTGCGAATTCGCAAAAGTTGAACACATTTCAACTCGACGAATTTCGCAGCGAATGTTTCATGACGTCAACTTCGCTTCGCATTCGCTTTCGCATGAAGTATGAACCGGGCTTCATAGGGCCTGTGTGTAATGCCACAATATCGAGTTGAAAACGTTATTTTATTTTTGGCCCGAATGTACCCCGAAGTTTTTTTAACTTTACCTAATGCAGGCCTCAAAACATATAAAACCTATATTTCAACTTGGGAACCTATGTTTTAAGTAACCTATATAGCCCATAAAGAGTGTTCTTTCATCCAGTAGGCCTATACATTTAAAGAAAAATAAATGAAAATGTTTAAAGTAATTTTGGTACAAGTGTTTCAAAATTAGGCAGTTTGCATGGAGTCCTGCAAATTGGTTTTACTTAATCGAGTGTGGAGAATTTGAGACGAGTATCATTCACTGTATTTCTGCCACCTCATGCTGAAATATAGTCTATGTAGGACTTGGCTCCGTGGATAACGGGTGATACTCGGACTAGATATGACACCCCGGCCCGTAGTAAAAACCTATTAAGTAATGCTATTATATTTTGGCTTTTGGAACACCTTTAAAAACCGTTACATGTATTTTGATTTTCAGAACCTCTTTTAAACAAAAACTATATTGACAAAGAGGGGCACTTATGAGGCCTGATGAATTTTCTTTGTTTTTGTTTTGCAATTTTAGGCAGTGTAACCCTGACATAATTTTCATTTGTTTAATGTTCGCCTATGGTGGTTTACAGCCAGCCGCACAAATCAGGATTTATATCTCATCCAGGCAGTCAAAAGCTACGGCTTGCGCAGCCCTTTTTTCCCCCGTACATATGGTTGAGTCTTTTTTTTCACACAGTTTGAAAACCCTGCAAAAATCTTGGTCTTCTATTTCTCTTTCTTCACCTAGGCCCTAATGACCACAACAAATTTCAGAAATTCTCATAAACATACACCCAAGGATCACTCCATCCAAGTTACATTAAAATCCATCACATTCTGTAGACAATGAAATATTTGAAGCATTTTGAACAATGACCTTCAATGACCCTTACATGATCTTTGTGAGCAAAGCGAGGAATCGAACTCGAGACCTCCGATCATTAGCCAGCATGACTAACCACTAGGCAACGGCAGTGCTCGGAAAAACCCTGCAATTCATAAATTATATACTTTCACACATGTGCAGAGTATACGCGCGCGCGTAGGTAAAAGGTTACAGGATTGTAGAGCGCCGCTATGCGGCGCTCTACAATCCTATAACCTTGATTCAAGTCGCCTGAAAAATGGGTACCCCAGATAGTTGTGTAAAAAAAAATATCGCCGCCGGGCGCGCCCATAATGCGCTCGCGCTCGCGTGCTTAGCATTGCACGTAACGTCACGTACGAAAAAAATTATGATTCAAAAGTCGCGATGCCTGTACGATATGAATTATGTCAGCCGCGACTTTCGCTAAAAAAAAACACCCTGTATCTGTGGTTGTAAAGGCACGAAAGGGGTACATACATTTAATACAAATCTTTGCTAATTAACACAACGTCCAAACGTTGTGTTTGAAAGTATTGATTCTTCAAAATCACAACTTTTAACATTTTAAAGATGGCGTCGGCACGTAAAACGGATAAACTGCAGCCCTAATTATAATGTACCGTATTTTGGTACATTTAAATTACACAATTCCAGGCGTTACGATCGCGCAAGGCATGATGGGAAACAACATGGCGCTGCAAGATCGTACCCAGGGGGCACGAGGTTGGTATCAATGGATCTCAACATCTGTTACAGGTTAACACCAATAAAAAATCCCTTTTGTTTTGAATAACATTTGAATGTCGTGTTCTTTATCAATTCCATCCAAGAGCAGCTGATCTTAGCATTATCATCCAAATATAATGTGTTTGAAATCTACAAATTAAGATTACGTTTTTAAAACTTTTGCAGATTGTTATCCAGCCTTCCATACCTACTGAAAATAATAAACGAGTCTTCAAAAAATGGTTACTTTGATTGGTCAAGCGATGTTGCTGCATATGCATAGAGATGGTGTTGCATATGCATCGATGAATACAGGCGCGTGCACGTACGCGAGGGGGTGCTGATGGCAGATTGATCAAGTCGGAATTGCTTACTTTTGCACCACATGTATGCACCCACTCTGCAATACATACACACACATGTACATGTACATGTACATGTACGTGTACCGGTAATACGCGTGTTGTACAATGTACAAACAGTGTGTGCGCATTGTTATACGGCACTGAAGTGGATAAACGCGCGCTGAAATATGAAGTGTACCTTGTTGGGCATCTGGAAAGACGTAAACTAAGTGATTTTTGCTACTTTTTTTTAAGATACCGACAAAATGATACCTGAGCTCCATTGCAAAATATTATTTGTTGGCCCAATTTCATCCGAATCATTCACAGAACTTAGCTTGCAGTGTGCACGGCATCCGCCCTTCTTTTTACAAACCCTGAAGATCATGACCCACAAAATGTTTTAATACCGGAGAATTCGAGGACATGCAAATCGTGATTTGGCTGCATACACATGCAAAAACTGTGTTAAGCAATTAAACACCAGTTTCTAAACACTTTTTGCTGTCAGTTTGCAACCATGTTTAAATACTAAACATGTTTAGAGTGAAGATGGAAAGTGTTTAGCCATTGAACAATGGTGTTTAGGAATTGAACACACAATGTTTACAAAGTGATAGCAAAATAATTGTGTTTAAAGGGAATATACATCATTTGCTTTTGCTGTAATTTTCAGAAATGGATGGAATTGGGGGGTTGGAAATATATAGCAAATGTAGTTACACTGACTTTTTTGAGGTTTTGGGTTCGAAAATGCTATAAAAAAACAAGAAAAACAATCATTTTCCTGTAGTCTGGTTCCCTGACTCCATTTAAGAAGAAACAGAGCAGTTTACATATATTGGGGAATTGAAAGGTCAGGGAACCAGTCTAGCTGGCTTGTACCCGTTCATAGGTGTGTAATCGATTACAAACAAGTGCGATGGTCAACTGGGGCCAGTATTTGAAAAAAAAACCAGTTTTTTCCAACGCTGATCGGCCGATCAGCGTTGGAAATTGATACAAAAATACCACTTTTCTTGAAAATGACAGTATACCAGGTGCCATGATGTTACAGGATGCTTTACACTGTCATTCACTAACAGTCCAGCAAGGTATTTCAAAATGATTTGGTAGTTTTATTTTATGATGTTTGCAAATGTTGTATTTTCCCTTTAAAGGGAAGCAAGCGTCCTGGATGGAACAGCCAAATTGGGCTACAAAACGCGCTTTGAACGAAATGATGTTAATCGGAAAGAATTTTTAAAAGTAGGATATAAACATCCACACAACTATCCTTTAAAAACTGGGCGTTTTTGTGTTATTCCGTGAAATTTACCAGTTTTTTTCAGCAAGCAGTTATAGACAATGTGAAGGAAAACACCAGCGTAATTCCAACGGGTAATTCAAAATTAACAATATACTTTTTATTTCTTCTACGATATAATCCACTACCGGTAACTTC